ATTCTAACTTCCTGATTATCCTGCAACTTCCCTTTCCCTTCCTTTGCTCCCTTATCGGTTGTCTCTTGGATCCTCCCCTCCCTGTGTCTGTCATTTTCCTTACTCGCATACCCATAACTTCCCACCTCTAATTCTCCCTCGTAATTCCTCTTTCCCCCTCCCTTACAATTATTCCTTTCCGCCCCTACTTCCCCCTTGGAATAATATGCCTCTATTTCTCCCTTAGAATTATCCCCCTTGGAATAATGCGCCTCTATTTTTCCCTTAGACTTATTCCCCTTATAATTATACGCCCCTATTTCCCCCTTGTAATTATTCCCTATTTCCCCCTTATAATTATTCCCTATTTTCCCCTTATGATTATGCGCCCTTATTTCCCCCTTAAACTTATTTGCCCCAATCCCTCTTATAAAATTATTCCTTTCCATTTCCCTTTCCCAATCTCCGCTTACCCCTCCACTATGATTATCTCTTCTGATTACCTCATTCCTAACCCTTACTCCCTGACCTCCGTCCCTAATTTCTCCCCTCATTTCCTCAACTCCTTCCCGCTCCCAATTGAACATGTTCTCAATTCCAGGCAATACTTCTACGTCCTCATATGTCCTCCTCCCATCTGTATCATCACTCACCATCGGCACGAATACTCCCCACCATGCAAAAACCCCCCAAAAACTATACCATGGACCAATCCGGGTGATCCAATCCCACCCCAATACCGCTTCTACTCTCCTATTAATAATCCATAAGTCTAAAACCTCTATCCCTCCTTCCGTCATTGCTTCTATTTCCACTCTTCCCATTACTGCTATTTGCGACCCATCGAATTGTCGTATTCTCAAGCCTTCATTTGCTATCATTCCATCGGGCCAAATACTCCTATATCTCGTATAACTCATTACAGAAATAGCTGCGTGTCAAATAGCATAGGTACCCTATTTCCATTGAAGTCTATTATTACCCTAGGACAAGGATCATGTATTACCTCGTCTTGTATCATCCTTACATTCCCAATTATATTTCTTTGTCTTCGTGAATACATTTTGTTTATTTCCAATACCCCCCTCTCTTGGCCCCATGTATCTTTTTTTTTACCATCATATAGTCACAAATTAGCACAATCCCTTGCCACATGTCCCCTTTTTCGACATCGGAAACATTCCACGGTTTGATCTTCAACTCCCTCTGGAAATACTCCTCATCTCCCAACTCGGGCATCCTCAATGGTTCGCACAGCTGAAGTATTAGGTCCCATTACTCTCTGGGGAAAACCTCCTCGAGTATTATAATTTCCCGTGTTACATTCTTCCTTCTTGTGACCAAATCTTCCGCAACCTGCGCATCGTAATTTCTCTTGTTTTCCTGGACAATAAGGGGCTATATGACCAAATCTACCACATTCGAAACACTTTGCCTCCCTACAATCTCTGACCATATGTCCTTGTCTTCCACAATTATATTAATTCATTCTTCCCCTCACTCTCGAATCAAAACTGGGTCTTATTTCCCCTCTACGTCCCTGAGAATCCTCTCTAGGTCCCCTATAAGGTCCCAACCTTTTATCACTATATACCTCCCTCCCATCAGGCCTACTTATTACTTTATCCACTTCACTCTCTGTCCATCCATTAATTAATTCTTGAACCGGCAACCATGTTACCTTTCCCATAACATCCTCCTCTCCATTATGCCCCTCTATTGTTAATGTCTGGCCCTTTATTCTCACGCTACGACTCTTCTACCCCAAATCAAACTACACATCCAAATCCCTAATATGAGTAGTGCTCCCACAATATTATATTGTAATTCCCAATATTTCATAAATTTAAAAGTTTTCATTTTCTCTCTACAAAAAGTTAACTAACATTTTTAATATAAAGAGTTTAACAATTTGCAACGTTAATAAATAAAATACTATGAGAATTGTAAACAAACCAAAGATGCAGCTCTACATATATCTTGTACGCCGTACAGAAATTTATTAATCCGGTTTTCCTTTTTTTTTTAAAACCCTTTTTTATTTTTTATGTTTCCTTATTAGTATAACTTCCGGTTTTCCTTCTTTTTTAAAACCTTTACAATGTTTCCTTATTATTATAAACTCCGGTTTTCCTTTTAAACTGTTCACTATGTTTCCTTATTCTTATAATTTCAGGCTTCCTTCTTTTTTTTTTTACCGTTTGCTATGTTTCCTTATTCTTACAATTTCAGGTTTCCTTTTTTTTTTAAACCGTTTATTATGTTTCCTTATTCTTATAACTTCAGGTTTCCTTCTTTTTTAACCCGTTTATTATGTTTCCTTATTCTTATAACTTCAGGTTTCCTTCTTTTTTAAACCGTTTATTATGTTTCCTTATTCTTATAACTTCAGGTTTCCTTCTTTTTTAAACCGTTTATTATGTTTCCTTATTCTTATAACTTCAGGTTTCCTTCTTTTTTAAACCGTTTATTATGTTTCCTTATTCTTATAACTTCCGGTTTCCTTCTTTTTTAAACCGTTTATTATGTTTCTTTATTCTTATAACTTCAGGTTTCCTTCTTTTTTAAACCGTTTATTATGTCCTTATTCTTATAACTTCAGGTTTCCTTCTTTTTTAAACCTTTTACTATTTTCTTATTTAATATAAACTTTTTCCCGCAAAATGTCGGGGTCACCACTATTTAAATCGTCTTAATTCTCCTATATTGAAATAGTTTCTTACTATTATCCTTTTTGTTTTATATATATATAAATATATTTTGTTTTTCTTTATTTTTACTTACGGTAGGTTTTTATTTGCTTTTTTATTCAATCAATAACATATATCACAAAAAAGAAATATAATATAACAAAAAAACATATCATAATTATTTTATTTCTTTTGCTTCCATTATATATTCACTTTCTACCCCCTCATCGTTATTCATCACAAAACGAAAATAAAAATAATAATAAACAATTTTTCCCTTTTCGATAAAAAAAACATAATAATAATAATTCTTTCCTTTTCGATAAAAAAAACAATAATAATAATAATTGATATAACTTTCATAATGTTTCTCGTTTTTCATAATGTTCCTCGCTATTGTTCCTCGACAAGACCCTGACCCACTTTTCAATTTAACTAATTTTTGTCTCTCTTTTATGAAACAATCTCTCAAATTTTTCCAGAGAGATTTGAGAGATGTTACTAAAAATTTATAAATATAATATGTATGCATAATTATTACCAGTCGTCTTATACTCTTCAGCTAATAATACCCAAACTTTGTTCTTGTAATTATTATTTTTATATAAATGATGGTGCTTATTATATAAGCACTCATATTCTTTAACTGAAAGAATAAATAAAGATTTATCTATTTTCTAAAAAAAAATTAAATTTAAATAATCATAATTTTAACTTGATCCTTTGGTTTTATATCATCAAAAAAGGTTGTCATTGAATTCATTTCAATTAATAAAAAATTAGCGCTAAATTTAAAAGTAGCGCAAAATCAAAGATTTTAAGCTATATTCACCAAAATCTGTATTTAACGAAGCACTATTTCAAAATCTCGCGATAAACACAAAATGATTTGTTTGGAAAAAATCGCGGCGATTTGCTTTTGCGATTCAAATCGCGCGATTGATAACTATGAATGCGATATAATATTTACTGTATTTTGTATTTATCGCGTCTAAATCGCGATCGCAATCGCGCTACAATTTTTCACTATGAATTCAGGGTAACATAAATTTTAAAAAAATATATCAATAGAAAATTGACACATAATCTTGGCTCAAAAATCTTTGGTTCTCGATTATTTGCACTTAAAATATCTGAAAACCTAGTCGGTGTAGTTTATTGGAATTTTCTAACGTCGAGCTACTTCAAAAATTATTTCAAATCGTCTTAAATTGTTTGAAGTTGATTCAAAGCAAGAGTAGACAGGGAAGCCGGAGCTACTTTTAAATTTAGCGCTAATTTTTTATTAATTGAAATGAATTCAATGACAACCTTTTTTGATGATATAAAACCAAAGGATCAAGTTAAAATTATGATTATTTAAATTTAATTTTTTTTTAGAAAATAGATAAATCTTTATTTACTCTTTCAGTTAAAGAATATGAGTGCTTATATAATAAGCACCATCATTTATATAAAAATAATAATTACAAGAACAAAGTTTGGGTATTATTAGCTGAAGAGTATAAGACGACTGGTAATAATTATGCATACATATTATATTTATAAATTTTTAGTAACATCTCTCAAATCTCTCTGGAAAAATTTGAGAGATTGTTTCATAAAAGAGAGACAAAAATTAGTTAAATTGAAAAGTGGGTCAGGGTCTGACCATCAAATCACCTGGCCTTTCTATCATGATATGCTATTCATGGTAGAAACCATTACACCTAGGTCTCAAAAGTCCTCTTTAGATAAAGAGGACTCTAGTTCTATAGAGGTTCATGATATTTTTAATGAAATGACAGGGGAGAATGATTGTAAAATATAGCATTTTAATTGAAAATATATTAATTATTTAGGTGATTTCATTGATACTGACAATACATCAGATGTTACAGTTATTAATAAAGATTCTGTAACACTAAATCTTAATGATTCTGGTAATTAATATTCTCTAAAAACTTATATTATTTATATTTAAGAATCTATACCCTGTGTTGCATCTTGTTCGTATTATAAAAATCCTAAGAGAAAGAATAATCATATGGGTAATTTATATTTTTTAATTTTTTGATAACTTTTAAATAGATGAATACAGGGACATAATTAAATTAGAAAAAGAAAAAACATTAATGAAATTGGAATTGCTTAAAAATAAACCTATTGAATATGTATATGATGGAATATGTATAATGTTACAACAAAAATTAGATATTTCTACCATACAGGAAAAAAAGAGATATCAAAGAAAATATTTGATATTATAAACGATTAATGATTAAAATTATTTTGTAAATATTTTTGTATTAGAAATATATATTTTGTTAATATTTATATTATTTGAAATAAAAATTTTGTGAAATACATTGAATGATATAATTATTCCCAAAAGTCCTGCTATAATTAAACTTTGTACTGAGTTTGGTAATTAATAATGAAATATATAATATTTATAATGAATGATCTTTTTCATAGAGAAAGTTTAAGGACATTGGTTATTTTTGTTTACTTGCTTTATAAAAATATTTTAAATAGATGAATTTTTCTAATTCTGCAGTGTTTTCCATCAATACATCCCACACAATTTGGTAAATTCCAATTCACCTCAAACTCCTTTTAAATAATAATATATATAATATACACTATATTATACCTTTGCTATCCTCTCAAAGTCAGTGAGAGTAGGTGGTGGCATATGTTTACCTACCAAAGTTTGCCATATAGCTTGGCAGGTTGTGCTAATTTTTCTGGACTGTAGATCTGCCTATTTTGAAAGAATAGGCCAAAGTAGGGTATCTACAGCCTGTTGCTAAATATCTAAATAAAAAATATATTCAAATAATAAATTGCTTTATTTTTACCTTAAACAAATCATAAGCATTTCTTCTACACTTATAGGATGTTTAATGAAATTTGTACGTTTAGTATATAATAATGGTTTTATATATTTTAGAATATAATAAAATGTCTCCTAAATTAAAATAAATTATAGATAAAATAGAATAAAATTACCTTTGTCATTCTCATATAGTTAAAAAATTTTGGGTCATTTTTTAATAGTTTTGGAAAAAGAATGTAAAATTCACCTTCCTTTCTTTTATTAATATTAAGATTATTTAATCTTCTACTCTTCAACATCATTCTGTAAAAAAATAATAATTTGAGGATGGCTACCATTTTTAATGAATATAAAGTCGTATCCGCAGAAACGGTGCCTGTTTAACAATCGCTTTGCAAAATGAATGAAAATCGCGATATCGCGTCTAAATCGCGATCGCAATCGCTCTTCACTATGAATTCAGGGTCAATAATCCAAGCTATGTAGTAAATTAATATTAATTCAAATAAATACATGTAAGACTTGAAAATTAAATACTTACATAGTGATTAAAAAATTTAAAATCTATGTCTTATTAAATTAGAGGACTTTTTTATAAATGATTTTGTCTTGTAAGCTCAATAAAATATAATTCTATATAATGATAAATAAAAAGTTTGATTTTTTGAGACTGCTAGAAATATATTAGTATTGTTTTTTATTAAAATATAAAGTTAGCTATCAATCATTTCACCATCTATCTTATTTCAACTTAAAAAATTTAAAATACATCATCTTAAATCTGTAAAATATAATTTAAATTTCAAAATTACTATATCATGTTAAAATTAAAATATGACAAATTTAAAAATAATATTTAATTTGAAATATAAAATACATCATTTAAATCTGTATAATATCATTTAAACTTTAAATTATAATATCATTTTAAAATTATAAAATATTTTTTTTATTTTATACATAATTTTAGCAGTAAGCAAAGGGTATAAATTATTAATTACCAATACATGAATTTTAACTTTTATTATTACATTCACATTCCAATAATGATTAAGTAATTTGATACAAACAAAACAAATATTTTAACACATGTGATGGTGGTGACAATTATAAATAAATAGATTAATAAGGATAATGTGTTATTGAAAATTATCAAAAAAAATGAATATGCTTTTATGGGGATAAATATTTTAAAAATTAACAAATTAATCAAAGGAAAATAAAGATTTACTAAAAACAAATTATAAATTAATTTTTCTAATTGTTTGGGCCACTCCTAGATGTACTGCAATACCAGGTTGACCCTTAGGAGAGGGATAGGCAAGCCCAGAGCACCTCTCCAAAATCTCCAAAAATGAGTTTAATATACTGGTCCCCATTAGGGGACGTACCAGACATTAAGCTGATAAGAACAGATTATTTATTTTTAAAAAAAAGATATGTAAAAAAAAATATTCCAAATAGCATTTCAATGATATGATATATGATAATAAACATATGTAATACATGCGATGTAATATGATAAGCGATATATATATATATATGTTCTATATATAAAAAAAAAATACCGGCGAAAATAGAATAGCAAAGTAAGCGATATTATAAAACGAATATAATTAAACGCGATATAAAAGTAGAGAAGTCAATAAGACGCGCGATATTAAAAATAAATATAAATAAAAACGCGATGTCGTCTGAATCACTGCCTCCTACCATTCATCCTCCCCGAAATAAACTGATGATAGAGATTGCAAGATCCTTTAATGACGTCAGCGACGATTAGTTTCCGAAGCATCTTCCCGTAGGTCTTGGCACAGATACGTCTTATTAAGAAATCATTTTTTGCGTACCAGGGACCCAACCACTATCGGCACGACATCTACCGATGAGTAAGTTTGCTTCAGAAACTGCACTATCCCTTGATACTTAGCTATCTTCTCGTTGTAAGCTGCGTCCAAAGAAGCTAAGCGATTATCAAAGGGAATAGTGACGTCTATAAAGGCTTGATTGCCTTTCGCTATCACCAGGTCCGGTCTCAGGAGTGTATCGTCGACGACTTGATTCTCCGCAAGAATTGAGAATTCTGCAGCTACGGTCGTTTTAAGTCGTTCGACGACGGCGTCGTGGCGTTCTACCATCCAACGCGAGTACCTCATGCAATGATTCAAGACGTGTGGGAGGGTTTCGTTTGATTGTCCACACCTCCTACAACGCGGGTCTCTTGAACAGCCTGGTCTCGCGTTTAATGGTAGTTCGTTGAGTCTAGCCCGGTGTATAAATCTCCATTCACGAAATGAGGTGTATTGTCCACTTGTGAGGAAGAAATGACTTGCCGGGTGTTGACCAACACACTCCATGACTTTGCCCTGGTTCCTCAGCTCCCGAAGTTCCCGGTCCCTCTGTGACCTCATCGCCTCTCTCAATCGCTTTACCACCAACCTACGACAATGTGGATCCAGCACAAAATCGTCCTTTGTCAACGTAAAAACTCCATCAACCAACCTCCACCTCACTATGAGCCTCAACGAAGCCTGACGGGCCCTTGTCCATGCATTCCTATAGGGGTTTGCTGAGTTTTTGAAGCGCTCATCATTTACCTTAGATAGTTAGTCTGCGATGTCAGCCGATGATACATCCATCAAGAGCTTTCCAGTCCGACTGGCGACGGTGTCTCCAAGCTCTGCAAGAGCCAACTCTTTGACGAGGGGATCCTTTGAGGTCAAAAGCTTGAAGGCATTGTCGATCCGATAAATATCACTATCCTCAGCCATCAGCGGGATTCCGATAGCACCTAACTTCCGCGACCCGTACAGGTAGTTGTTAGCCGCAGATAGGGGAAGAGCTAATAAGGACTTTAGTATTATACGAATCTCCTTGTCCACCTTGTCGCAGGCCGTCTTAGCGAGGAGGTCACATCGCATTGGAAAGCTTAGTGTGGGGAAGACAAACGTTTTGATGGCGTCTATCTTCTGCCACGGGGCTAACTTAGATCCGCTGATTTTCTGGGTAATCTCCAAGGTTCTGTTATTATTATCATATTTATCACAAAGGAATCCTGTTGGTTTACCCAGAAAGGCTTCTGACTCACCCTCTTTCAGGTACCTGAGCCGACCGCTATTGATTTTAAAGGTGCTTTCGCGGACCCCGACTGGAGCTTGCCCACTAAAATGCATTACGGCGCACTTTCCAGGATTTAGCGATAGTCCAATTCTTTCGCAGTCATAAGCCACGATATCGAGTCTCCGCTGCAGATCGCCGGCGAAGCCCGTCAATAACACAATATCGTCTGCGTATGCAAGAGTGGTAGAGTCAATCGGATCAGTCTCTTGCCTTTGCAGTAGCGGATCTATGGCGATGTTGAATAAGATGCCGGAGAGCGGACATCCTTGCTTAACGCCCGAGCAGAAGGTTATCTCCTCCGTAAGCCCATTGTTGAGGATGAAGCGAGTTCTTGACCCATTGTATAGATCCTTCACCATGTCAACCACACGCTCATTAGCCCCAACACTCCTGAGACCAGATAGCATCGCCAGATGGGGTATGGAATTGAATGCGCTTGCTAAATCGAGCCAAGCCACGCACAACTCCTTCTTCGATCTTCTCGCCTCCAATATATTGTTTTGGAGCACGAAGTTATGCTCGAAGACCCCATCATAGGGCATGAACCCTTTCTGCCCTCTGGAGATAAGGCCGTTATCATCCACGTGAGTAGATATCCGCTTGGCTAGAAGACCAGTGTACGTCTTGTATATACAGTTGTTTAACGATATCGGTCTCCAATTGAGGATATCTGCTTGATCACCTTTCTTGTGGATGAGCACGGACACAGACTGCTTCCAAGAGTCAGGAACCCTACCATGCTTGAGGCATACATTGAAGATGTGGGTTAACAATATAGCCTGCGGGTCAAGTCTCCTCCAATTGTTAAAGGTCAGTTGATCAGGACCCGGCGCAGAGTTGTTGCCACGCTGTAACTGGAGGGATACTTCCTCCGCTGTATGCTATCTCCGGGATGCCGTAGATTGACGTATCGCAGCTCGCTGCTATCCCGATTGTTGCTTCGAAGAGTATTACAGCGAGGGGAGGAACCTTCGACAATATGGCGGACTGCCCTTTTCCGGTTAATGTTGTAAAGCTTTTGGACTGCTTTCGCGTCACAAGCGATATTGTTGCGGTCCACCGGATTGCCTGAATTCTCCGTGTTATCATTATCATTTCCAGGTGTCCGGGCTCTGCAACCTCGAGGCCATATCCGTAGTATTTCGTGGGCCGTCGAGATCAAGTCGTCCATGACCGCAGTAAACGAGGTCGACTTCCTCTACTGCAGGTGTGTTCAGGAACCGCTCTATTCTCTCAACAAATGGCAGCATCGGAGTGGTGTCCCACGTGGCATGGAACTCCTTGTTGATGGAGCTGCCCTCCTTGTTGATGGAGACTCCTGGGATACAACCACGTCAACGTCATCATCGGTACTCAACGCCTCATATTGGTTCGTAGCTAATGGTATCCCAATGACCGAGTTGAGACGATTGGACGAATGGGTCGGGAAGAAGACACGACCAATGGGAGGCCTAGTGCTGCGATTCGGAGCAGGCGAAGAGGGACCATGGATTTGTGGACGAATTCTGGCTCCTGGAATGATACCATCCGAGTTGGGTCGATTGGACGGATAGTTCGGGAAGACGACACGACCAGTGGGAAGCCTAGTGCTGCGATTCTGGGCAAGCGTAGGGGGACCATGGATTTGTGGACGAGATCTGGCTTCTGGAACGATACCTTCCGAGTTGGGTCGATTGGACGGTTGATTCGGGAAGAAGACACGACCAATGGGAGGCGTAGTGCTGCGGTTCTGGACAGGCGCAGGGGGACCATGGATTTGTGGACGAGGTCTGGCTCCTGGAATGATACCATCCAAGTTGAGTTGAATGGACGGATGATTTGGGAAGAAAATCCGCCGAATTAGGGACCTAGTAATGGGATCTGAGGTGGGCGGAGGGGGACCATGAATATGTGAACGAGGTCTGGGTACTGGAATGACACCACCCGAGTTAGTTCGATTGGACTGATGGTTCGGGAAGAAAGTGCGACGAATTGGGGGTCTAAATATACGATTTGGAACGGGAGATGAGACGACATGGGTTTGTGGATGGGGTCTGGGTGCTGGTCGTCTAACGTGGGCATTTGGTTGAAAGAGGTGGACAGCCTGGTCGGGCCTGGGACGCGTACGGGCGTCAGGTTGAACTCTTGTACGGGCTGAATTGAGCGGATTAGGTTGAAGTTGAGCGGAAATAGAACTATTAGGCTGGATCGTCCCCTGAGAATGTTGGGATTGTCGAGAGATGCGAGCAGGTTGGTGGTAATGTGCGATGATGCGAGGCTGAATTGGATATGGAGGAAACTGGAATTCGTGGATCGGCGGGCGAGAAGAAGCCACAAAGGAATGATGCTGAGTACGGTTCTGACTTATAATATCGGTATGAATTGGCCTCAGGATTTGAGTTTGTGTATGAGATGGCCAGGAAGTGGGGGAAGATCTTGGGGGTGGTTCCTCATCGATGACTAGCCTTGGTGGGGAAGGCGAGATACTTGGCGAGTAGGCGAGGGCTCCAAATGTATTGCTTTGCGCTGGGGAGCTTAGGGTACGGTAACCCATTCTTGGGCCGGTGTACGATAAAGGAGTTTGAAACTCTGATGAGGGGGTTATAGCCACCGAGAGCAGCGGACTTGGAGGTGGTGACAATGCTGGAAAGTCGGACTCGTAATTAGCTCTAAACGGTGTAGACTGTGGAGTAAGATGAGCTATGGCCCGAGTTACGATTACGGGAGTCGTTTGATCGGAGTCTCCGCGCAGTACCAATTGTTCTCGTGTATCGGAGTTCTGTGATGTAATCCGTGGTTGAAGATACCATGAGGACACCAATGGGGTTGGGAGAGTGCAGGAAGATTGGGCGGCACGTCTCGTTGACCATATATTGGGAGAGCCAATGTTAGCCATCGGACTCCGGTATCCGATAATACGGGGAGGTGAATGGCATGGCACGGAACGAGTTGGTATCGATTACTGGGTAACTACATCATGTTGGTTAGTATTATGAGAGGCACTGTTAGTAATCCAGGCCAAATGTGGATTCTCATTGAGGTGATGTATAGAAATATCCAGCGGGCTGGCGGGAGTTAGGATAGGATGGGTCATTCCCTCCAGACTTGCTACTGAATCTAAAATCGGGTCAGGCCTGTGGGAAAGATTGCATGCACGAACGTGGTTTCTAAGTCCTTTCGTAGAAAGAAAAGAACAGCTACATCTTCCACACGCATAAAGGAAGGTCGTTGGTGGTCTCGCCACTTCGGGGGGTCCCGAGCACCGGTGTTTAGATGGATATGCCCCTATACCTGCGTCACACCTTGAACATATGTTGGACGTTTCGATTTCAAGATGGTGATCACGACGCAGATGTTTAAGCAACGAGTGTCGCTGGGCTGTCGACTCAAGGCATCTAAATACCTTGCCACATCCAATCACCGGGCAATTATAATGGTCGGGCGCGGGGAAATAATATATTAAAATGTTTTCAATTAAAATTGGTTGCATACTTACGTTGAATATTCAATAAAATAAGAAATGGCGTCAATAGGCCATATAATTATAGAGAAAATGGCCGCGATCTTGCGCAGTGGATAATATTGTCACGATCGGCGCAGATTACCATAAGAAATGGCCTCTAGTCTGTAGGAGATTAATCGCGTTTTAAATTGAAAAGTAGAAAATGTTTTATAAGTTTAATAAAATAATCTTAATTTAAATATATTAATCTAACGTAAACATTAAGCTGATAAGAACAGATACTACACTTTGATCTTAGCCAAGAGGCCGAGAAGCGATACTTTTTTACTAGATGCTCTCTCAGATATAATACCATATTATTTCACCTTGAATCCAGTTTCTTTTAGATTTTTATGATAGAAGAAAGGATATATTGAAAATTTTAGTTGATAATCCGGTTTTTGATGTATGAGGTATATTTTTATAAATTAAGGTAGATTCATATTTAATTTTACCTATGATAAAAATAATATTTATATACAGGTGTAAAATTTATAAAATTTAAGTGCCATCATTTTATTTTTACAAATGTTATATGTTTACCAAGTATAGCCACTAGAAAACTATTGAACAAAAAAATTGTTATACAAAAGGAATATTTTTGATATTATACATTATTATATCAATTTAATATCATCATCATTTTATTAAATATTTTATATAAAAAACATAATCGTCGCAGATTTGGAACATTTAAATTAAAAAATTATTTATTATCAAGTAATGTCAATTTTGCATTTAATTATTAATAGTTGAATTTTATAAACATATATGAGCAAAAAATTAATTCAAAGATTTTATAGATCTTAAATATAAAAATAAATATTGGCCCATTAAACTTAATAAAATAAAATATTTCTACGATTATCGGTAACCCAATTCTTTTATATTATGTAAATTTCTTAGTCTTCATATCTTATCTGGAATTTATTTTATAATATTTGCATTTAATTTTTTAGATCAATCAAACGACAAATTTTGGAGATGTATTCTAATGGATAATTTTTGACAACTACCCCTGCGAAATTTAATTATCTTTGGAGCACCTTTAAGCGGTACAGAAGGATGTTTTCAAATTATATACAATCATTATTCCTCAAACTACCAATAAGTTTATTTCATACTCAAAAATGCCATTTTAATTCCTCAAATTTAATAGTTTGAAACTTTTTTTAAAATAATACGAACAAAAAATTTTAAGAATGATTCAAGAGTTACAAAATATTGAATTTGTTCTCACTCCTGACTTCAGTCGACCGAGACTTGTGACTGAGATGTTATAACTATTGCCCTTGTTTCTTTCATATGTTCTACAAAATCCGAGAAACATATCATTTGCATATAATTTTAATTGATAATAATAGTTTAATGGAGGAAGCCAAAATTGTTTTAACATCAATGCCTTTCCAAATATACTTCGAAGTAAAAGACTGGGATCTAGGATTGATATCTTGTTCCTTCGCTTACCTTGATTACCGATATAAATTCTTCCTCAGGACGCTTAATTTAAACAACTCCGGCTATGAATGGCTTGATTCCTATCACAGTATTTTATATAATAGATGCTGACTCTTTTTATGCAATCAGTTCGCGCACCAATACACTTGCAACAAATGTAATCAGGTCGCAGACTTTTTGGAAATCACGCTTCCCATTGTTAATTCATATCAAAAATCATTCGAAAAAGCATAATATACACACTTATTGCTACATTTATCAATAAGGGAAATATTCCGTGCATTCTTGAACCCACGTTCTGAATAGAAAAAAAAATTGTCCCTTTTGTATCAGGCAAACCTTTGGTCTAGGATTTTATTTCTTTGAACCTTTTCTAAACAGTTTCAAAATCCACACGGAAAAAACATATATCTCTCCTTTTTATAAACTTAAAAAAAACAGCCATCACAATAATTCGGCTCAATTAATAAATGTTAAAAAAATTAATTTGTATAATTTTTTATTAGGTGATGGCCTAAATATCGAAAAATTGAATGGCGTAATTTGCGTGAATCTGGCAGTTTTACGATTCGTAAAACTTTAATCTTTCTATCATTAAAGTTTTGTAATTTGCGTAATTATTGCAACAAAAATAACGAGGGAGTACCAAATGATGGAAAATATTAGACCACATGCAGCAAGCAAAGTCAAATGGGAAGAAATAAAGAATAAGTTTGATCTTATGAGCAAATTAAGACCAAGTTTATTGCTATTAAATCAAATTTCAACGAATACTATGCTCTATCTAAGAAATCAGGTTTTATATTAATAGTAGTATATATATATTATGAAATATATTTATAAATAGGTTCTAGTGCTGCTATGTTTAACAGCAAGTACCTAAAATTTGTAGAAGATTTTTTCTTGCAGAAGGAAAATGTATTTGTAAGCATTCTGAATCTAGTTTCATATAACTCACCAAATGTATTATAATATGAAATTTAAACGATATAATAATTTGTATTTTATGATTCTCCATAGTGGATTATTTAAATGAAATTATAAATCTTGTAAATTTCACGGAAAAAGATATAGCTGAGAATAAAATTTTAGGAGTTAACTATTTGTTATATATATATTATTAATTAAAAAATTTAGTATTCAATTCTCTAAACAAGGAAAATGTTAATCCTTGCAACTCAAAGAGAAAGAATTTTCAAACACCTAAATCTAAAAATTATGAAGTTGAAAAGATTAAGATATTCTATTTAGAGGTAAATATCTATTATACATAAAATAATAATTTATTTTTGAAATAGATTTAGTGACAAAAATTTCGAATTTCAAAAATGAAATTTGCACAACTTTTAATTTCATACATACATATAATTTTTTATACATAATATTTTGTATGTTTTTATACATATTTTGTATGTAATAAAAATTTAATTATTATTCCTCAATAAAATTAATTATAATTAGTGTTGTTAATTGGTTGGTTGTGTAAAACCCAGACCCAGGGTTTGGGTCTAAATAATCGACCAAACCAGCTCTGAGCACGAACCCCGAATTTATACATGCATGTATGACGTTGAATTTTTATATTAGTCCACATTTAATTACAATATCAATATGTGTTAAAATAAAATTTTACTTTTTTATTTTTTTTCCATCATGCATGGGTTACTCTTTTTGAATATTTACTGATATTTTTATTTTACCATAAAAAATTTTGATCAAAAGAAAGTCCCCAAAAATGGTAAGAAAATAAGAATAAAAAAAAAGCTTTATTAATTTAGAATGAATAAGATAAGAATAAGATTTAATTTAAGATTAGAAAATGGAATTTTTTTTTTACTTTTCATTTATCCGAGCCCCAGGTGTAATTCATAGGTGGGTCTGAACTCAGCCGAATACTCCTAATTTTAATAGGGACCCCGCTAGTAGTATGGATCCTGATGACGTGATATTTTAACTTAAATTTAAATTAACTCCCTTTAGTAATACTGACATTTATGATTGACGTTATAATAAAATAACATTATAAAATTTAGTGTGATATTTTAACTTAATTTAAATTAACTCCCTTTAGTAATACTGACATTTATGATTGACGTTATAATAATATTTTATTAAAATATCATTATATAATTTAGTAATACTGACATTTATGACTGACATGTAATGTTAAAAGTTTTTATTATTTAGTAATACTGACATTTATGACTGACATGATATGTTAAAAGTTTCTATTATTTAGTAATACTGACATTTATGACTGACAAGATATGTTAAAAGTTTCTATTATTTAGTAATACTGACATTTATGACTGACAAGATATGTTAAAAGTTTCTATTATTTAGTAATACTGACATTTATGACTGACATAATATGTTAAAAGTTTCTATTATTTAGTAATACTGACATTTATGACTGACTTAATATGTTAAAAGTTTCTATTATTTAGTAATACTGACATTTATGACTGACATAATATGTTAAAAATTTCTATTATATAGTAATACTGACATTTATGACTGACATGATATGTTAAAAGTTTCTATTATTTAGTAATACTGACATTTATGATTATTTAGTAATACTGACATTTATGACTGACACATAATGTTAAAAATTTCTATTATTTAATGATATTGACATTAATGACTGACATGTAATGTTAAAATTCTATTATTTAGTAATACTGACATTTATGACTTTATATTGCAATATTAACACTTATGACTGACAGGTGATGCTTAAAGTTTATATGTTTAGCATTGATAAATAATTAAAATTTTCTAATATTAAAATTTATGAGATAGATAATATTTTAATTTCTGATATACCTATAAATAATTTAACTTCGAAAACGTCATAGCTTAATTTTTAAAAAGTTTGATTGAAATCTATATACACATGGTAGGTTAATTTATTCATATTTAAACATAAATTACATATCATTGATCAAATGATTCAATATCGTACTTTTTATAAAAATATCTATTAATAAAAAATATAAAAAGCTATATAATATAAATTAGCAATTGAATAAAACTTAACTCATCAAAAAGGCAATAAATATATTGTATAAATTCGCAATTGAATATTTAAGAAAAAGATGAAGTATTAAAAAAAATATATAATGCAATAAATATAATTTAAATTTGCAATTGAATAGATTTCAACTTATAAAAAGGATGTCAAACTATTGTACTATAAAAATAACTATTAATAAAAATATAGAGTACAATGACATTTAACAAAAAGATACTTACCAATTATCATCTTTCAACTAAATTGGAATTAATATAAAAAAATATAAAATGCAATAAATATAATTTAAATTTGCAATTGAATAGAATTAAACTTATAAAAAGGATGTCAAACTATTGTACTTTTTATAAAATATACTATTAATAAAAATATGAGTACAATAAAATTTAACAAAAAGATACCGATTATCATCTTTCAACTAAATTGCAATAAATATAATGGAATAAAAATATTAGAACAGATAATCACATTGATATAATTCTAACAAAATGATTGTTATTTACATTGCATAAATAAATATTTTCTTTAAATATTTTAATATTATTAAAAAATTTCATGAGCGAATAATAAGCCCATTTATATTGGGTATAGATTAATATATTTGTCTGTAACAATGTGGCCATAGATAATATTTCTACCTCTGTTGCTCAGACACCGTTTCCCATAACATTTCTGTTAACTAGGTATTCCTCTACAGGATATCCTATAAATTTTCCCATTTCCAATTTGAAATCTTCGCTCCTCATAAAAAGAATGCATTCCTCCCTAAGGTAATTATAATTTTCCTGGCTATTTGATATCTCTTGACTTATACACCTATAAATAGGTAAATAATTTAAATATTATATATAGATTCTAACCTAAAAAAACAGTTCCCATCACCCACAATATGATCGGTTGTGAAAATCTCTTTTAATATACCACATTTTATCTTGGGATAACGTCCAATTACTTTGAAATTGAACCGCTTAGAGTGATATACCTTCGAGTTCCTTGTTGTGGGCAGAAAAAGTTCACCAATTTTCTTTGGTATTATTGCTTCGACAATAATTTGGTCATCTAAATTTGATAATTAAATAATAACATATTTTTAAAAAATATTACTACCCTAATCTTGTACACCTATATATCCTTCCTCTCTCACTATACTTTTAATAGCTATTATTGGATCTTCACCAAAAGTATCTATATCCAAAAAAATATATTAAATAATTTTATATATTATACCCTTTCTCTTGACACGTTTTATTTTAGTATCCTCCTTTCTAAATTCCAACCCTAGAATTTTAGATTTATCAAAAATATAATTTTTCCAATTTTTAAAAAATAAAACTTTCTCCTGAAACTTTTATTCCACAGGACATTTCTTCAAATAGTGCTTCTTCTAATGAAAATATAATAATTAAAAATATATTTTCCTTTTTCCCAAATGCATTTGTTTACCTTCTCCTTCTCCAACTATAGTTTTAAGAAGCCTACAAACTTAATTATTTGTTCAATATTATTTTATGAATAAACTGATATTACCTTGATCTTGAACACCCTCTATAGTTTCACAATGTGCAATATTTTTGACTGTATCTTTACCATTAAAAAAAGTTATATTCATATATTTAAAAAATAATACCTTTGTTACCCTCTATATAGTGCTTTAAATTACTTATATTAGCCTTAGTATGTAAAATTTTTCCTATTGAAGAGGATAATTCTACATTGCCTAAATATGTATAAATATTTTGTTAAAAATAATAAATTTACTATTAACAATTTTAACAATTGTATAAGGACCTACCCAAGGCTGCAACATTTTCCCTCCATTCCTGTCAGCCCGATGATTATTCCATACAAGCACTTTATCATTTATGTGATAAATTGCATTCTTAGCAGCATTACGAGTTTTATAATCTCGTTGCTGCTTAAGCTGAGCCTTTATAATATTTTTTGTTGCAGTCTTGAATATGCCTTTCATATTGTCTGCCCTTCTTTGGAAATTGCAGTCATAATCTGTATCAGAAAGATCGTCAAGATCTGTTTCTGGTTCTCTATCATCCTTAAATAATAAAAATTTATTACGTATAATAATTTTATACAAATAATGATATATAATATATCATACCTCACAGGGCAGTAAAGCTTTCCTGCCATACATCATCTCATATGGCATAAATTTTGAGGATTCATGCCTTGATGTATTGTAGGCAAATACAATACCAGCTAGAACTCCAGGCCAATCTTTCTGATTGCCTTTTGAACACTTCAAAAGGGAATTTTGAAGAGTACGATTGGCTCGCTCTACCATGCCATTAGCCTGAGGATGGTAGGATTATGTTAAAGTACATTTTAAAAGTGTTACAAGCTTTTTGGGTGATATCAGGCTAAATTTAAGCAATATTTTAAAACAATATTCTATTAATTTAAAGAGAATTTTAAATTGAGTACTGTATCCTAGCTTATAAGAGCAATATTTACCTGATTATATTAAAGTACATTTTAAAAGTGTTGCAAGCTTTTTGGGTGATATCAGGCTAAATTTAAGCAATATTTTAAAACAATATTCTATTAATTGAAAGAGAATTTTAAATTGAGTACTGTATCCTAGCTTATAAGAGCAATATTTACCTGATTATGTTAAAGTACATTTTAAAAGTGTTGCAAGCTTTTTGGGTGATATCAGGCTAAATTTAAGCAATATTTTAAAACAATATTCTATTAATTGAAAGAGAATTTTAAATTGAGTACTGTATCCTAGCTTATAAGAGCAATATTTACCTGATTATGTTAAAGTACATTTTAAAAGTGTTGCAAGCTTTTTGGGTGATATCAGGCTAAATGGTTTTGCATTTTAGGTAATTATAAATATCATTGATAACATCGTGATTCACTATTTAATATTTTACTTTTTACGTGAACAAGTTACTTTTTAAGAAGGATGTTTAATTTCACCAAGTAGATAAAAAAAATTTAAATTCGATTCAAAATTTAAATTCGAAAATCAAATTTACAAGAATTTCAGCAATATTAAAAAAACTGCATGATCATATACTCTCCTATCAATTTAAATTCGATTCAAAATTTAAATTCGAAAATCAAATTTACAGAATTGCATATCATATCTCTCCCTATCAATTTACATTGTAATTCATATCTTTGTTACTAATTAACTCCCTCCTTAACACTATTTATCAAAGGGGGAGTTAATCTATCATAGTTATTACTTAACTCAGAGGTATGTGATAAGGGGAGTTAATTAATCACGCTACACCGGGTCTGAACCTCGGGTCTAGACCAATAAAGCTTTTTTTTTATTCTCATTTTCTTACCATTTTTGGGGACTTTCTTTTGATCAAAATTTTTTATGGTAAAATAAAAATATCAGTAAATATTCAAAAAGAGTAACCCATGCATGACGGAAAAAAAATTAAAAAGTAAAATTTTATTTTATATTGATATTGTAATTAAATGTGGACCAATATAAAAATTCAACGTCATTCATGCATGTATAAATAATAAAAAGAAATGTAAATTTATAATTTGTGATGAAATGGCCAATAAAAAGTTTTTCTTTATTATATTAAAGTTATATTCCCAATATTATATAAAAGATAAGATTTTCGATAGGTAAACAAATTTTAACTATATTCTCTATTAAATAATTAGCAAACATTCAAAGTTATTGAAGATTGCCAGATTATATTTTCTTCTTTCAATGATCAATCCCAATGGATGGCCCAAATAGATTTTCAATTGCCGATTGATTATTAGCAAGAAGAGATTTATCTAGCCTAAATATGCCTGAAAGGATGTAAATATAATTTTGTTATGAGATTATAAATGGTAGCTTATTTAAAGATTCTTTTTTTTAAATGTCACTATAGCATCGTGATTTGGCGAATATCTCGACTGTAGGGCGCTGAATATTCTTAAGGTGGGTAGGGAGGTTTTGCCTCCATCAAATTTTCTACCATGTAGACGCTGATTATTATAACAACTATATACAATCTTCTAAGAATATATAATTTATTTATTATCATTTACCTGTTAAATTGGCATTAAAATATTTTTTCATAAATCTTTCTTAAATAATTTTTGGTAATAGAATGTGGAAAAGAATACCGGAAAAAACTGGGTATAAAATTAAACAAAATGGATAGCTTAATTCAAATAACTTGATTTAACTTTAAGATTCTGTAATAAAAGGAATTATATATATTTATTTTATTTCAAAAACTTATTAAATAGCAAATTTGTAAAGAATTTTATATTTTAAGTTGGCTATCTGCCTGCAAATATACTCACTAAACACTAATATTTATATTTGTCATGTTAGTTCTATAGTTAGAACTATTTTGAATAACTTTATTTTTGATGATACCGAAAATGCTGATATAAATTATCGAAAAGAACAGATGAGTCTATGCGGACTAAATAATTAATCGTAATAATATGCACTTCTGCCTGATTGAAATATAATGAGAGTGCGAGGGAGAGGAGTTACTAGAATTGGAAGGAATAGAGCCCGATTAATATTTTAGCCTAGGAGAGTAAGAAAGATGGTTACAAGCTAATTTTGATGTTTTAGATTTCTTATACTTATTAAAAATATTTAGGGAGTGGATAACAAAAAAAATCCGAATTTTTTAAGAAAAAAATTATTTTTTAATCAGCGTTTTTCCATTTTCACATTTCAATTTTTTTTAACAAGCCATTATTATAGTTTATTAATTTAAATATTATTTTATATTTTAATTTAACAGGTTACCATAAGCATAGTGGATATTGTTATTTCATCATATTATCTGATTCTGAAAATTCAAAATCATATGAATTAAAGTAATTTTAATCTACAAAGCTACCAAATATTTATTCAAAATATAAAAAATCAATCAGTCGATTTCCCGCGTCAAAAATTATAAATGCAACTTGTAAATACTAAAATGTGAAGAAAAAATATAAATCATTTTATATATTAAAGAACTATAATCTAATGCAAAAATATAATTGTCCTACAAAAAGTAGATGAGTATAATCATCAGGGGTGGCACACGAATAAAAAGTTAGGCCACATTTTATAAATAATTTTTAAATAAAATTACAAAAAACATAATTACTATATGCCTTAAAATATATATAAATGTGGAAAAAGTCCAAAGGTAATATTTTAATATGAAAAAAAAAATATATATGCATAATATTTATAGAATAAATATGAGATCATATCCAATATATTAGTGGAAAATTTGTTCATTGATAAAAAAAATAATAAATGGAAAAATATAAATTATTTTGTTTAGGCAACATTATTTTGATGGAATTCTTCCAAAGTAAGTAAATGTTTTTCGATTTGACTTTCAAAAGGCTGCTGAATAAAATTATCGCTCTGGATCTCTTCTTTATGATTCAGAGGATCGTTTCCAGGACCTATAAATTCGTAGTTAATTTTATTAAAGACGTTATCACGATTTCTGGAAGCTAAATCGAAATATATATATTATTTATAATATTAGAATCGTAATAAGATAGGTAAAAAAAAGTTATTTAAATCAGAATTTGGTACGTCAGCCAGAACCCTCGGAATCGGGGAAAATATAGGAGCCGAATATTTTAAATTTTAGCACCAGATTTTATTTTGAAATTCTCGGTGTAAACGCCCAAAAACGGAATTTAGCCCAGGCTCCAAACTTTAATTTAAATACTATTTATATAATACTGAAGGAGAAAAAATTTAGACAATTTGATACACCCCCCCCCCCCCTCTAAAAATCAATATTCAAAAAAAATGTATTCCTTATACCCATTTGTTTTTCAGTGTTAGGCAAACCGGCATATATCTCTGCCTCAATTCCGCATTCATTTGTCCCTCTTAAAATCTTGAAAAATCCCTTTTGCCCCCAATCTTGGTTCCAACTATTAACGGATAGCCAATAGGACGTGTTATCTTGCACACCCCATCCTATAATTTTTACAGCGTGGCCGCCCACTAGATCCCCAGTTACGTGTTTGTAGACTCCTGTTACAATATAAAAATAAATTATAATTCTTTTTAAAATAAAAGGGAAACTATTGGGCTTATGGATATATCTGAAGTCTCAGATGTGTAACGTTTGCTCACCCCTCAAAGTATTTGTTGTTTAGCAAGCTAATTACATACCGTAAAATTATTATTTTGGTAAAAAGTATTAAATATACAATTGTCATCTTACCAGATTTGTATTGCAAAAAATCTTCGAAAACGATCATGATAGCTTCTACTGGCCCGTATTGCATAATTTCTGATTGTATTTGTTTAGGATCGAATGGCACATAATATATTTTTTTAGCTAAATATATATATAAAAAAAAAATTATTTAAGTTATTTTCAAATCATTTTTTGAGCGCGACTTTTTTTTAAATTTAAGAATCTGATGAATACCTATTTTTATCCTGTGTAGACAATTCTGCTGTTAATCTTTAAGTCATTTATAATGAAAAAACTATATATAAATTACATTTGGTTGGAAGGTTCATGACAAAATTGTCTGAAAATCATAGGGTAGGTACCAAACATGATGTAATACATTTCGGGTACTTAAAGTTGAAAAAATAATACATTGCCGGAAAAAATATTTTGACACTAACATACATATAATCATATTTTTTTTAAAAAATAATATTTTCACCCAAATAAAATTTGTTACAAATTTTATTCTTAAATTAAATAAATATTCAAAAAAACCAAAATTTTTGTCATCCTTGTAGGTCCGGTTATAGCTGCTCTCGCAATGAGTAACACATTTTGGGGTGTCTACTACTTTGCTGCACGGTTTGTAGATACCTTAATAAAATTTTACAAAATGAAAGAAAAACTTACAAGATGAATATTACTAATTTATATCTAACAAAATTTAGACAAACAACATCAGTTCATCCTGAATTTTTAAAACTCTTGACGTCTCACAACATGTATGGGGTTATATTATAAGTTTCTACCTGTAGTGTGGTGATCGCAATGCGGTATTTCGTAAGGCAGGCAACCTTGATTAGATCCAAACTGTCCTCCAGTCACTATGCCATTAGACCGGTAATAGGCCCAAGCCAACTGTGGTTGACCTCCGTCACATCTACACATGGATAACATTAATATATCATAAGAGGTCATTTATAATACGTTGAAAATTTAAATATTTAAAAAATAGAATACCTTTAAAAATAAAATATAATATATATAACTCATAGCTCCTCATTCGAGAGTAAGTTAAGAGGAACAATACTAAAATTATAGAGAAATGTTATCAAGTACTAGTTAATCCCAACTATTACTAGACCTGTATAGGCTAATATGCCGATGAAAATTATCACGTTCAAATTATCATTAACCATAAAAATATATATAATAATTTACTGGCCATAACATTATGGATAAGAGAATTGTAAGTAGTGTTACGTAATCGGCTAATTTTAGCCGACTATAAAACGGTTTAGCCTAGATTTTAGGTGAATAAATCGGCTAAGCCTAAAAATTGGCTAAAATAAATTAGTCAAAAATTCTGCATCGATGCCTAGCATAAATTATTATTTATTTATTTTAGTAAAATAATTTATTTTATTTATATTTAATGTAAATATTTTATTATTATCAACAAATAAACATGATATGATTTAATATTTTATATTTATATTGTTATATTTTGAAATGAAAATAAATTTATTTATTTGATGTTTTATTAATAAAAAAATTAACTGCTATTGTAAAAATGTAATATTCTTTTTAATATAATTTATTAGTGATTTTCACAATCTTCTTACATCTTTTATTGAGGAATTATATTGTAAATTTTATTAGATAAAAAAAACAATCTTTCAGGTGAAATCTTTTATAATTTTTTTTTTATCAATTTTGTAAAATTATCTGTTTTTTTATTAAATGAGGTGTTTTTTTTAAAACAATTTTATAAAAATTTTTATATTAAAATTTTTTGATGTTATTTTATAAGATGTTTTTAAGGATAATATTTTTTAATGTGAGAATTGTCATAATCGTTATTTTTAAAGTTTTTTGTATTTTTTTGACGAAAATATATTAAAATAAGCATTGATAACATTTAAATAAAAATTTAATGAAGATGTACCATAGAAAAGAGACAATTGTAATCGTTAATTTTAAAGTTTTTTGACGAAAATATGTTTAAATAAGTATTGATAACATGTTTAAATTAAATTTAGTGAAGATGTACCGTAGAAAAGTGACAATTGACATAATAGTTATTTTTAAAGTTTTTTTAATTTTTTTGACGAAAATATGTTAAAATAAGTATTGATAAAATGTTTAAATAAAATTTAGTGAAGATGTACCGTAGAAAAGTGACGATTGTCATAATCGTTATTTTTAAAGTTTTTTGATTTTTTTTGACGAAAATAGATTAAAATAAGTATTGATAACATGTTTAAATAAAAATTAAGTGAAGATGTACCGTAGAAAAAAGACAATTGTCATAATAGTTATTTTAAAGTTTTTAAATTTTTTTGACTAAAATAGATTAAAATAAGTATTGATAACATGTTTAAGTGAAGATGTACCATAGAAAAGTGACAATTGTCATAATCGTTTTTAAAGTAGGACCCTTAAAAATTATTATATTAATTTAGTTAAATTTTAAAAATGTATAATTATCAATTAGACAAAAGATTCACCAGAGATAAAAGGGCATATTGTGCGGCCCGACAAAAGGATGTTTAAATAATATAAAATTGTTTAAATTATAGAATAATATCATACTAAGTAATGTTCATTCTTATTCGTATAAACCGGGATTAATCGGATATAACCTCATGATATATCACATTGGTTGTAGTTCTTGTTTTATCATTGGTTATAATCTTTAATTTATGAGGAGAACAAACTCGAGACATAGCCACATATAGCTGTCCATGTGAAAAAACAGAATGAGGTAAAAAGATGCCAACTTTGTTCAACGTTTGTCCCTGAGCTTTATTAATTGTCACGACGGTCTCACGGGAAATTGGCCGCGCTTAAAGGAAAATGGCAGGCCAGAATCTGTAGGAATTAAACTTATTCTAGGAATGAGAACTTTAGTACTGAGAAAACTACCAAAAACAAATTCCGCCTCAATTATATTTGGTAGCAAAGAAGTTATAATCAATTTAGTCCCATTATTCAAACTAGAAGAAGAATTTAAGTTACGCATTAATATTATAGGTACCCCGACTTTGAGTAAAAGTTTGTGAGGTGGTAATCCTGATATACTTAAAGAGTTTAAAAATTCAGTGGGATAAAATATCGCTTCATCCTCGGTTATCGTTTCATCAGCACTTATGTATGTAATCAAATCCCCCGGAATTTTGTTAATCAATTTAATATTTATAGAATCGACATCTACGTTTTTAGGGGTCAGGATTGCATTTTGAGCAAATGATGTTTGGAAGGTAACGCCATCATTTCGTCGTCCATATAAAGGATAACCATGCTTATCAATAGAAGAGGTATCCACAAATGATTTAGGATATTTTTTTGAGCATTTTCCATCAATCATGCAGGGACTATTAGGAAATGTTATACCACATGGCGGTAATTATAATATGGGACGAAATATCAATGACTCATAAACATATATTCGAGGCCGTGGATAGGTCATTTCAGGATATAATAAAATTAGATAAACCGTTTGGTGGTAAAATTAATATTTTTGGCGGAGATTTTAAACAGATTTTATCTGTTATTAAACGTGGTGGAAGATGCGACATTGTTAACTCAACCTTAAAACGATCCTATTTATGGTCGCATACAGTGCCATTAAGGTTAGGTATTAATATGGACTTCTACAATTTCACGAAGCAAATGATTATCTTATTAATAATAAATACTCAAAATTTCTTTTAAGAGTTGGTGAAGGCTATGAGACATTTGATGGCTCCAGGGATAAAATAAAAATTCCTGAATATTGTTGTATAGCTTCCAATGATATCGAGGATCTTATTGCTTTTGTTTACGATATAGACAAAGACAATACGTCCTTTAACCGAACATCATTTGCTCAAATTGCAATCCTGACCCCTAAAAACGTAGATGTCGATTCTATAAATATTAAATTGATTAATAAAATTCCGGGGGATTTAATTACATACATAAGTGCTGATGAAACGATAACCGAGGAAGAAGCGACGTTTTATCCCATAGAATTTTTAAACTCTTTAAGTATATCAGGATTACCACCTCACAAACTTTTACTCAAAGTCGGGGTACCTATAATATTAATGCGTAATTTAAATTCTTCTTCTGGTTTGAATAATGGGACTAAATTGATTATAACTTCTTTGCTGCCAAATATAATTGAGGCGGAATTTGTTTCTGGTAGTTTTCTCAGTACTAAAGTTCTCATTCCTAGAATAAGTTTAATTCCTACAGATTCTGGCTTGCCATTTTCCTTTAAGCGCCGCCAATTTCCCGTGAGACCTGCTTTTGTCGTGACAATTAATAAAGCTCAGGGACAAACGTTGAACAAAGTTGGCATCTATTTACCTCATTCTGTTTTTTCACATGGACAGCTATATGTGGCTATGTCTCGAGTTTGTTCTCCTCATAAATTAAAGATTATAACGCGATAAAACAAGAACTACAACCAATGTGATATATCATGAGGTTATATCCGATTAATCCCGGTTTATACGAATAAGAATGAACATTACTTAGTATGATATTATTTTATAATTTAAACAATTTTATATTATTTAAGCATCATTTTGTCGGGGCGCACAATATGCCCTTTTATCTCTGATGAATCTTTTGTCTAATAAATTATACAAAGTACATTTTTAAATTTTAACTAAATTAATATAACAATTTTTAAGGATCCTACTTTTTTAAAAGCTTACCATTTTGTCGGATCCACCATTGCTCTATTATCCCTGCTGATATTTTGTATAACGCACAAAAAATATACATAGTACATTATTTTTATCATAAATAATTTTATATCTATTCCAAAAAATCTTCGTTTTATTTCAATAATAATGTTTATTTATATTTTTGCCTGATTTCTTTATTTGTCTAGGCTAACCCAACCTTAATCCCTCACATTGCTACAAAACTTGATGAATCTATTAAAGATAAGCTAAAAAAATAATGACGAATAAACAAACGCTTTGCCAGTTCCAGAGTTACTGGTAGCCAAAATAATAAAAAATTACGCTTGAAATTAACTCCTCGCATATAAGTTTCATTAGTGTTTAATGGCACTTTTATTTAAATTAGCATTTTTTTTTATTTAAAATAAAATATAGACAAATAATTTAAGAAATGCAAGACATACATTAAATTTATCCGAAAAGCTACAATAACCCTATATAATAAACAAAAATTTATTTTTTATATATAATTATAATTGATCATATTACCAAAAAGTATAAGAGTCGGTTATTTTTATTTTATTTGTCATGATTCTCTAATAAGTGGTTTGTCCAGGCCTTCCCAGTTTCTCTTAATACGGAATTCACATGTTTTTTACATCTTAAACTTATTGGTAAATCATATAATTCCCCTTCATGTGAGGATAAATCAATTTTAAAATTTAACTATCTCCTAGATGGGAAAAATTTTTCATAATTATATTGGATACGACTGGGCTTGGAACCTCAAAATTTATATTAGCTTGCACCTGACATGGGAATATCTTTAACAAATTTTTAAGGGTTGAGCTGGGCTGGATAAACTTTTATAATTATATGTTTCCTAATATTGTGAGGGATCTGGCATGACATCTATCGTAAAAAAATGAATAAAAATCTCATTCCCCGTCATTTTTGACGGGCTTTCTACTAGTTTTTTTATTAAAAAAATATAAAATAAATAAATTTATTTTCATTTCAAAATATAACAATATAAATAAAAAATATTAAATTATATCATGTTTATTTGTTGATATATTTACATTAAATATAAATAAAATAAATTGTTTTACTAAAATAAAATAAATTGTTTTACTAAAATAAATAAATAATAATTAATGCTAGGCATCGATGCAAAATTTTTGACTAATTTATTTTAGCCAATTTTTAGGTTTAGCCTTATTAGGCTTAGGCGAAGTTTTTAGCCGATTAGGCAACACTAATTGTAAAAGAATTTACTTTTTTAAAAAAAGAGATTTTTATCTTCATATATTTTATATAACAAAGAACTTTTAATTAGCATTATTTAAATTCAATAATAAAAACTTTATTATTGAAATAAAATTTAATCTGCCGAAACATTTGAACTTAATATTATTACCACAATTTATAATTCAAAAGAAAATTTGCATACACTATAAACAAACATGTCACAGGGTGAATCAAATGAAACATTATGTTTCGCGATAAATTTAGAATAGGAACATTAGTTTTTGACACTGATATTTGATGGCATCAATAAAATGGGGGAAGGGCAGAGTAACAAAGAAAATAGGAAGAAGGAAATTTGAGGTAGAAATAGAAGGAGTAAATAGGAACATGGTTGAGACAAGTTTGGCAAGTAAAACCGCAAAGAATAAAAATAAAAGTGATAAATATTTTGGTTTTTTTTTTAAAAAACGCTGGTTGGTCACAAAAAAAATAAATGGATGAAAAATATTGGTTTTTATAGGAAAACTAAGGTTATGAAAAAAGGGGGATAGATAGGTAAGATATAATGCGAAATATTTTACAAATGACTTCCAAGTTCCTAAATTGCGTGGGAAACAAAGTGATAAGAATAGAGGTAAGAGAAATTGAAGGATAGGAGGTCAAGGAATTGTTAAAATCTAGCAATGGAAGAAGCTATTCAGATCTATAGGTAGATGATGTACAACAGGAGAGATGAAATTGGGTGGGGGTGTCCTCTAAGAAGGGAAGAAAGAATCTAGAGCAGAGAACCATATAGTCAACCAAGAATTTGGAGGAGCACATCAGATGAGAAGTTGACATTAGTTAAAGATCAAAAATGTATGGTCCCTGAGATGACGAAGTCTATAATAGTAATACAAAATAGTAAACCAATCAGCTTATATGCAGTGAAGGTGGGTAATTCTGAGGAAAGTTGTTACATGTTTGTTATAGTGTGTGCAAATTTTCTATTAAATTATAAATTATGGTAATAAGATTAAGTTAAAATGTTTTGGAGTATAATTTTATTGTATAGATGAAATTTTTTTAAGGTATATTATGAATTTGAATAAGTATTGTGGGTTTTGTTATATAAAATTAAAAATTATTTTTACAATACAGATTACAAGCATTAATAATTTTCTATGATTATGGAGTTAAAAATTGTTACACCACTTTTTATCTTTTAATTTTTATAAATTTTAAATTGGAGTAATAAAATTTATATTTTAACCTTCGAAATAAAAAATATTTTCTCAGTTACTATATAAAAATAAATTTATGATATTTGATCAAAAATCAATCAGAGCTTTGGAAATTTGTTTAATCATTTGGAAAGCTGTGTAGATTTGCCTGAGCCTACAGAAAAATAATATATCATTAAAAGATATTATAATTCTAAATTTACTAAAATATATTATTGAAATGTTTAAAAGTTTATCTTGCCACATTATAATTTCACATTTTTATATAATTTGGATATTTAAATTGTTATGTGGATAAATAATATAAGTATTTAATGTAAAATATTGGATAAAAAAATATGTTTTATCTTAAGATGAAATTTTATATAAATTATAAAATATTTTACAGTAATAAATATACAATATTTATGCAAAAAATTATCATGACTTATGCATTTGAATACGATTTATTATAATTGTACAAGGTAAAAGTTTTAATTGATAATATAAAAAATAAATCTGTTGTTAAATTTAATCTGATTATATTTTTAATCCTGTGATTTTATTTCCCTCTCCCTATCTATATGGTTTAATTTCTCATTTGTTTATATATAGTATTAAAATTAATTTATGGTGATGTGGCACTCCTATTTGATTACATGAAAAATATTGATGAAACTTCATTTTCCTATCCTGATTTTTTAAAATTTTACATGTGGATAAATTTGCTTTATGATATTTGTCCTAATAATTATAACTTGTATTTTGCATATAATATCACTAAAGTGAATTTTCTTTTGTTTGGGGGGGGGGCTTCATGACAAATTTGTGCCTTGACATAACTGTAGACTCACTCAAATATATTAATTATGACAATTTTTCAGAAACCAAGCAAATAATTAACAAATATTTCTTATTATCAAAATGTTAAAATAACCATTTCATCATGAAATTTATTTTAGCATGAAAAAAAAATATTTGGCATTTCTAAGGTAAGATTATTCATAAATCTTTCTTTGAAAAAAAAATTTAAGCAATATTTTTTCGAAGTATTTTAGAAGATTTTCAAACTCTGAAAATGAGATTTGTAAAAAAATATTCAAATATTATGTTAATTATCAAATTATTTTTTAAAATTTATTCGATTTTAGGTAATATATTTAGCTAATTAAAAAAAACAAATAATTTAATTCAATGATTTTAAAAAAAAATTGCCCGATTTATTTCGCAATAAAAATCAAATTAATTTTTTATTTGTAACTAACCCAAATCCACAATTATCGCAGCAGGTGAGTAAATCTTCGGCAGATATGTGAGCGTTCACGGCTCCATTACTACTTATGCAAATCCTGTCTGACATGGCCTCCACAGCACCAAAGGCCTTGTATAGGCAAAAAAATAAAAATATTTAATGAAAAAATTAACACAAATTTAACTGGGATAGTACAACTACGGTCAATAAGTGTCAGATTTTGATTTTTTAAAAAAGGAGCAATTTGTTATTAACAAATAATATAAATTTCAAATTAATATTTGTATTAATTAGTAAATTAAAATAAAAATGTCTCCCAGGATTCCCTTTTCAAAGCAATAAAAACTGTTTCTAGTTTTTTATGCAAAAGGGTAAAAGATTTGATAGATTCCAATTTTCATGTTTTGGTTATTGGTATAATATTTCGCAAAGTTTTAAATATTAATTATCTTGGAATATAAAAAGTATTCAAATTAAAATCAAGTTATCTATCAAACTATTCTAATATTTAATTTAAACAAAGTTAATTATGACTTATATTTATTTTAAAATGAATATATAATTATCCTTTTTATTTCAATATATTAGTATAATACCCAACATGATCCACATGCACCTTGATCTCTAACCTCATGAAGTGTTGGACAATCTGGCCATTGAATTCTACTGTCAAATTCATCTGGTAGCTGTATTTTATCTTGATCATGATATTGAACTTCCATATTAAACAATTTAGAAGTGGTAGCATTTAAATTGACTCCCATTAACTTCTTAATAAGATCATAATCCCAACTTTGGAAATTTGGAATAGTACTAGCCTGTTTATATAATATAGGAAGCCGTTATAAAATCTAAAAACCTTCCAAGTTGTATTAAGATTATTTATATAATCTACAATTTGATTAGCCCGAGATCCGTATCTATTTTCTGATCTAATATCATAGAATAACTCACATATTAATGCAAAGTATAAAACGAAATTCATCACTTCAAAAAGGATAAATGATAAAAATATATTTAGGCACCGGCGCGTCAAAATTCAAATTTTTAAAAAAAAAAAAGGTTTGCGCATTTATACATTATGCATTCAAACTTAATTTTATAAATCTTGAAAAATAACTTCTTTTCTTCAAAATGTTTAATGTTTTTTAGATAGAAGTGGCAAATTCTATCTAAAATAAAATAAAAAAGTAAGTTAAATTAAGTTGCAAAAGTGTTTTTTAAAAATTACATATGTTATTATTTCAAAGGTAAGTTTATAATAATTATTTTATAATGTTATATATTATATAATTAAAATATAAAAAAAAATATATATATACAAATGTAAATTGGTTTTTTTTTATTTAATATTAATTGCAAAGACATTGAAATTAAGATGTCTGTTTCAATTTATATCAAATAAAACAAATTTTATTTTATTATAACTGTATATAATATTATGTGTATAACATATATTATATAATTATCTAACTTTTATAAAAATATTTTTAAAGCTTATAGAAATTATGTCTCATTTTATTCTCTATTAATTGCAAAGACATTGAAATTAAGCATTTCCTTAAAAATTATATACATTTTTCTTTATCTAATAAAATTTATCTTATCTTATCCGCTTTTATTATTTAAAATAAATTAGAATTGAACCAGCTCTAAGTATTTATTCATTCTCTATAAAACAAACAATTTAGATAATAACAATAGGAATTATAATTTTATTACCTGGTAGCTAAGTGATTTCTTGTTTTTATAGTTATATAATTTATATACATTTCATGTACCAAAAAAAATATTTAAGAAAATATTCAAAAAAAATTTCTAAGTTATTTAAAATTTGTTTTTATCAAGGGTTTTATATTTTAATTGTTGAACATAATTTATAAATAATTAAATATCATTCGTTCCAACTATCTAAGCTTCATCTCTTCCATTGAATAACCTTCCATTTTCCAAGCTTCATTTTTTTTATCCCCTATCCTTTCCCGTAAATTATATTTCTACAATTTTTCACCTTTATTTATTTTACCTTTTTAAAAAATTAAATATTTGCTAATATATTTTGACATCATATCATATCAGTAAATATTCAAATAAAGTATCCCATGACCGGAAAAAAAAAAGAATTATTTTATATTCATTAATTTCAAACATGGCTAATATATATTGTGTAGAAAAACATTTAGTATCTATTAATTAAATTTGTATTCATTAAGTTATGAACGAATGTGAACGCGTTCCTTTTTCTGAAGGTGAACGTTTAATATGAACGCGTTCAATATTTGTGGATGAACGTTGAACGGGAATGTGTTTAATTTTTTAGAAATATTTACAGCACTCGTAAATATCAATTCCTAGTAAATCATAACTATTAACATTTTACTTTCATGAAAAAAACTCATTTACAATTTTTTTTATAAAATATTAAACTTTTTTGTTTAAAATTAGTATGTGACAGAAATTACTTTTATAAAATAAGTTTTTATCTATAAGGAAGACTTTTCTAGTGTATTAAAAAATACATAATTTATTTTTGGAGAAAACATGGAGTCATTTTTTTACATTTGTTCCTTCCTGAGGATCACCCGAAATTAAAAGTCTCCTTAGCTCTGAGTCCAAATGCACTGATTGTGTCAGAAACAATGGAAGTTAGAGTAATATTAGGAATGTTAATATATTTATTAATTTTCTAATTTCCACTCTAATTAAGGAATAAGAGCTAAAGTATAGTGCAAACCTAACAAAATATGTATAATCGTAGGATAGCGGGATTCCCCTGCATCATGGAATAAATGTCATTCCTTCTGGTCTGACATAGTCCCCAAGAACTTACAGGTTTCAAAATTGATGGAATATTGGCTGAACGGATAGTTCAAGCAATAATAAAATTTACTGCTTGGTGGCGTGAATGGCTGCCTTTAGAGAAGCGACAGTGAAGAGGCTGATGACCTAGATTGACAACAGAGAGCTGGCAAAGTTTGCTAGATGAGGGTGTAACGATATCACAACCTAAATGAAGACATATTTCTATCCGAAGTTCTTTGTTGAAAAGAACCCAATCATAACCTGTGTTGAAATGTTTTGATGCTAGAGAATTACTACTTTGATTTATTAAGAGGAGGGGGGGGGGATCAATACTTTGAATTACAAGGGAAGAGATATATGGGTTAAAGATCGAGAAAATGCCCTACAAAGCAGCGAGAGAAAGGAATTCAACGGTATGCTGGATTAAAAGTAAGGGCCAAGAATGTTAACATAATTACTTCGAACTTAAATTTAATATTTATTATAAAAGGTAATAATATACAACATTTAAATATTTTTCATGCCCCCTTAAAAAAACATTGTGCATTGGGGGTAAAAAAATTTTAAATGCTAACGTGAGTGGGGAAAGCCTTGGATAAAAAAAAATAAAGCCAGCGCACACCCATACTTAATATATAATAATATAAAGTTTTTTAAAAAAAATTTGTTACAAAAATGTAAATATACAAAATAAACTGTCTAAAAAAATATATATATAATATAATTTGGAAAAGCCAAAAGAAGTAAATATTATAATATCAAAAATAAAATAAATATCTGTATAATATATTATAGAAAAATTTGAGAACGTATCTATCTATATATCTCTATATATATATATTATATAAATTTGATAAAAATTTTGTCTGGTGAAGCTAATATAAAAAAAATGCATAAATTTTGTTAGGCAAAATTGTTCTCAAGTAATTTTTTAAAAAAATCCTCGATATAATTTTTAAAAGACAGTCGAATAAATTTATCGTTCTGGATCTCTCCTTTCTGATTCTGATTATTGGTTTCGGGATCAGCGATTTTGTTACGTTTCATAATGAGGCTATTATGGTTTTTGGAAGCTATAGAAATATTTATAAATATTAATAAGTATAATAATAATAGGTTATCGAATTAATGCAGAAGCAAATAAAACTTTAATAAAAAATCAATTTTTACCCATTTGTCTTTCGGTGTTAGGGAAACCAGCATATATCATTTTTTCGATTCCGCATTCATTTTCCCCCCTTAAAATCTTGAAAAATCCTTTTTCCCCCCAATCGGCATTCCAGCTATTAACCGCCAACCAATAGGGAGTGCTATCTTCCACACCCCATCCTATAATTTTTACAGCATGGCCGCCCAATGAATTCCCAGTCTTGTGTTTGTAAACTCCTGGTGTGAACATATAAATAAAAATTACGATTTAAAAAAAAAATAAGTTAGACTTGTAAAGCTTAATCATCTCAACTAACTGTTACTTTGTAAATGTAAACCTTTTCCATACTACATAAGGTATATCTGTAGCTATGCAAATTAATCATAAATCATTAGGATTGTGCCGATTTTTCACCGATCCGATATTTATATTGAATTATTTACCATCTATCTTTGTATCAATGTCATAAATATATCAATATTTTCTACTTTAAAAAAACCAACTAACTTTCACGAAAGATTAAGTGTATTATATTATTTTTATTTTTCATAAGTTAATATCATTTAAAATATTTGCAATGTTTATGGGTGAAATGTGGTGTTGTTAAACGCTCCATTTAGCCGATTTTTTAAAGGGCCAAATCAAAATTTTAACCAAATATTATTACCTATTCATCGAAATTTTGCCAAATAAAAGTCCAAACCTTTCTGATATAAGAAAAATCAATAAGCATGAATTTACTCTTGGACAAAATTTTGAGTTAACTGTTTTTAAAAATATGCCAAATCGAGACGTTTAGGAACACATTGAATGTGGCTTGTTAGGTATTATAAAAATCCTTTTCAGATAACATAACAGAAAATTAGCGTAAAATTTTAAACTAATTTATAAATTAAAAAACAAATTATATTAATATAAATATACAATTATATAGTGTTGTTGTGTTGTTAATTTGCTTGGTCATAAAATTTATGACCCAATTTTATGGTCAGGCCTGCTCTGAGCACGAACCCGTGGTTCAGAACCAGGTTATTTAAAATTTTCCATAACATAATTGTCCTTTAACAATCTGCATGCGTTTGTTTTATATTTTTGAATTATTAATTATTATTTCAGTGATATATGTGTGATGTGATGATTTAATAAACATGTTGATAAAATTAAAAATAAAAACCCATCGAGATAAAAATATGTTTGTAAGAAATAATTAAAATAACTAACACATTTTTACTTTTAAAAATTTGAAGTTGAAAGAAAATGTTGAGATAGAGAAAAACATTAATATTCTTTAAAAACTTCCGATAATTTAACTTTAATTAAAATTTTTATTAATTCTTATTACACAAACCAAACTAGTGTAAATTGATTTTATATATTTTGACTTTAGAATCAGGAGAAATAGATGCTTTTTTATAACCCCCCCCCCCCCCCCATTTAAAAGTATTCTAAATATCCCATTCAAAGCTCGATATCAAATGTACTTATCCAAGATACATTTCTAAAATTATTTTAAAAAAAATAGCGATAAAATTAAACAAATCAGGCTAGAAAGTTCGCACCTTATTCTGAACTAAGATGGGGCAGAGCGATTAATTTATTAAGACAGGGCATGCTGAAACGTTTTAAGAAAATTTCCATGGCCCATTGACCGGTCTATAGTTTTGAATCATTTTTTTTAATACCGGAAATTATTTTATAAATCAAAAAAAACAAGAAAAGTATTTATATTTTGATTTAAATATTTTTTTAAAAAAATAATAATTTCTAATTTGTAAAATTGTTACTGGATGTATATAAAATGCTAATGTATTATTCATCTCAAATCAGGGTCTAAACCACGAATCTGAACTCCCTATCTAAACATAGTAATTACTTACTAATTGCTGGTTAGCGAGAGGAAAATATATCACAATAATATATTATAGTGATCTGCATCGGGCCTAATTTTTCAAGCGCGACCTACCAAAATTTATTTAAATATCGAAATTAATTTTTATAATTACTCAAAATAAAAGATATATGTTATATAGCGTGGTGTCTAGTTTCTATTTATAAAATTAAATATTTTAATTTTACATAAAAAAATTAAACATAAAATTGATAAATTTAGATATATTTTTAAAAAATTCCAAAACCTGACCTGACCTGGCCGGAATTTTTTTTAAAAATACTAGGCCCAACCCAGCCCGAACAGGATTTAAAAAAAAATAAAATAGGTCAGGCTTATCCGTTTGGGCCAGGCCTAATTTTTCAGATCTCTAATGTATTATATAAAATGCAACACTCTCGTTGGAAACAGTTATAATTATATATTTGATGAAAATTATTTTATTTCATTTTTTTTTAAAATTTCGGAATAAAAGGAAGCTTTTTCAACAAGTTTTTAATCTTTTTTTAACAGTTTGAAAAATAAAAAACACATTTGCTTCTAATTATAATGTTAAAAATTTGTATATCAAAAAATATTCGTAATTAATACCATCATCATCGCATCATTAGTATTACAAATTTAAAACTGAAACAGAATATAAAATACAAAAATCAAATCAAACATATACTTTAAAACATAATATTAAATAATAATCTAGTGTTTTAATGTAATTATCTATTAAATTAGATGTTCAAAGATATAGATCGGATTTCCTTTTTGATATATCGTATCGTATATGAATAGAAGGTTGTAAAATCGTAATTAGTGAAATTAAGCAAAAGGCTTAAGTAATTACCTCAATTATATGAACTTTGTTTTGTTATTTGGTTTAAAGAAGTTTAAAATTACAATTGTCACTTTATAAAAGTATTATAAATTTAATTTAAGTTAAATTACCAGAAGTTTTTAAGAAATAATAATGATTAAATTTTTTTAAATGAATTGAATAAAAAAAATTTCTATTAAGAAAATAATAATTAATTAACTTAACTTCAAAAATATTAAACAAAAGGAAGTTTTATGATCCCCCAAAAAAGAATTTTTATTTTTAAAAAATATATATAGGAATAAAAATAAGTAGAATTAAAAAAGATAATTTATTTCAAATATTAAAAGTTTTCCTCTATAATTTTTCACGCTTTTATTATATATATATCAGAGACCTGCAGGCCCGGCCCTAAACCTGGCCCGGGCCGTTTTTAAAATTTTTTAAATATACCCGGGCCGGGCCTAAAAAAACTTTTTTTAAACATATCCGGGCCGGGCCTAAAAATTTTTTTTTTTAATACATCCGGGCCGGGCTGGGCTTAAAATTGTTAAACCCGGGCCGGGCCTTAATATTTTTTATAAAAATTTTTACATTATGAGTTAATGGTTATAAGATTATATTATATTATAGTTATGATTAATATAATATTGGGTGATGGTTAGTTAACACTACCTAACAACCCACAGATCGATCTAATTATTAATTTCCTGCAAATTTATTCAAAGTATTAATATATTTTTTTATAATTCATATCTAAATTTTTACAACATATTTTACCAAAACAATCAAATAAAGGAATATCTTAAATAAGCCCCAATATTCAAGTATTATTAATATATTTTTTTATAATTCATATCTAAATTTTTAGAATATATTTCACCAAAACAATCAAATAAAGGAATATCACTTCTTTGTATTTGATTTTACTTAATATAAAGCATTTTTTAATTGAAAAATTTGTTTTACACAAGTATCATTTTATTTCTCTTTTTCTCTGTCCCAAATTCAAGCAATTACGTATGTAGTCAGGGACAGATCGCAAAATGACGGAAAACTATATAAAATATTATATTAAATTACAAGAGGGTCAGGAAGTAAATGAAATACCATCGACCAGTCAAATTACGACTGTTGTTAAACAAACTGAATCGTTTTATGACAAATGGGGCGATGGTAATTCTGGTAATATGTCAATACCCGATGATGAATATTATAATTACATAAATAAAAAAATAGATGAAACATTTAAGGTGGATAATTTGTTAGAGTGGTGGGCGGCATGGCAATTCCTGCTTTAAGTGCAAGCTGTGAGCGGAATTTTTCCACTACTGGGAGAATTCTTGAAGAAAGAAGAAATAATCTTCAACCTGAAAAGGTAGATATGCTTCTCTTTCTTCATGATAATTTGTGAATTTTTAATATCTTTCTTGAGTATAGGTTTCATCAATCATGCTGGTTTTTTACTTTGCAAACTGTCAAATATTTATTGCATTTATTATATTTACCTTGAGTCATGAAAGTTTTTAATCCAACATTTTTCATTATTTTTTTTTACAATATTATATAATACAATTATCTTCTTTTGTTAAAAATTTATATTATAAAATAAATTATATTAATATTGTGCAATTAGATTATATTTTCAAAATACTATTTATTATACATGCATTTTTTTAAATAGCGATTTATTTTTATTTTATAAATTAAATAGTAAATTAAATACAATATATTATATTCTCAAAATATTTTCCATTTTTATAAATTAAATATTAGTTTTGTTTTTTTTAAATGTAATATAAAATATAGTATATGACAAATATTATTACCATTTTTATGAATATTAGTTTTATTTTTATAAATGCAATATAAAATATAGTATATGCTCAAAATATCCATTTTTATAAATAACAGTTTTATAATTTTTATAAATTCAATATAATTTTCTCAAAATATTAGCTTTTTACATGTATTTTTTAAATAATAAGCAATAATACTCGCTGAAAGATATGGTAAAATACCTCATATAGGTGAATTGAATTTTTGTATATACCAGGTCGAATATAATTTTAAAAAATTCCGAGCCGGGCCTGAAATTTTTAAATCCGGGCCGGGCCGTAAAAAATTTTTTTAAAAATATTCGGGCCGGGCCGTAAAAATTTTTTTTCAAAATATCCGGGCCGGGCCTAAAAAATTTACAATCGGGCCGGGCCGTGCAAATGGTATCTCTGCAGGTCTCTGATATAACTTAAATTTTTTATAATAAAGATATGTGTACCAATCTAGAAGATGAGGATGAATGGTCTGAGTCTGATTATTTTATCAATAATGGACAATCAACCTCAACACCGATAACACCTGTAAACATTCCAAGCAAGGAATTTTCATTATCTCAGTCAATAGGACAAGAATTGGTTGTTTCATTTTCTGGGGATTCTACACCATCCAATTTAGTAGATATTAAAAATTCTTTCGCGCTGACTCCCAAGAAGTCGAGGAAGAGGTGCCTCTATTGCACTGCAATATACAGCCATACTACCTCTAAAAGTATATTACTTTTTATTAATTTTTGGAGTGCCTTTATTTCCTCATAAAACATTTTGTTACATTTTCTTATCAAAAAATATTTTGCATATCATATTTGTAGTATTTTTGACATATATTTTGGTATTATCGTTAACATTTATTAGAATTTAGCCAAAAATTAAACTTTCTATTTGTATTTATCATAAAATCTTATTTTTGCGTATGAAATTGCACAAAATAATAAAAGAAACATTTTACAGAAATTCAAAAATATTAAATAAAATATTTACATAATAATATTTTCATTTTTTGTTAAGCTAATCTGAAGAAACACCTCAAGTCCGTGCACTCGAAGATATTTACTGAATTATCACAAATATCAACCCAAGATACGATGCCCGGGATTAGAAAGCCACTCATACATGAGAATCTAAATATGAACAAACTTATATTAAACTTTTTAATAAAAACAAATAGTCCACTAAGTTTAGTGGATAATGAATCATTGAGAAAATGATGTATTATGCAAATAGCCATCTCAAGTTATGGTGTAGACAAACATCCAAAAATTTAGATAAAATATATGATATGGCCAAAAAACAACTAATAAAAAAATTTAATAATTTTAAAAATAAATTTGCCTTAACAACGGACATCCCATATGGGTTCATCTTTCTATTCATTAACACTTCACTACATCAACGATGACTGGAATATTATAAACATTGCCCTAAATTTATTATCGTTCCCCCATCCACACACGGGGGATGATAGATATATCATCGCTTATGATAACCTCCATGCATGATTTCGAATTTAAAGATAATATAATATCAACTGGTAATTTATTTTTCTAAGTTGTATTTTAGCCATATCATAAATTTTTCCTAAATTTTTGGATATTGTTTGTCGACAACAAAGTTTAAACTGAATATTTGTATGATATATCATATATATAATTCATTATCTACTAAACTTAATGGACTATTAGTTTTTATTAAGAAGCTTAAAATGAGTTTGTTCATTTTAAGATTCTCATGTATAAGGAACTTTCTAATCCTGGGTATCGTATCTTGGGTTGTTATTTACGATAACTCCTTAAATATAGTCGAGTGCAAGGACTTGAGGTGTTTTTTCAGATTAGTTTAACAAAAAATAAAAATATTTTTATGTATTTAATATTTTATATAATATTTTTGAATTTCTGTAAATTGTTTCTTTTATTATTTTGTGGGTCTGTGCTCTGGATTGGTGCTCAGAGCTGGTTTGGTCGATTTCTAGACCCAAACCCAGGGTCTGGGTTTTACACAACCAATCAATTAACAACACTACAATTGTATAATAACAAAAAACAATAAAAAAATTATCGGTGCCAATCTGATTTGATATTAAATATCGGCAACAGCCCTATATATCATCAAAAGAAAATTATGATATTAAAAAAAAATGGGATCATAATTTTATGTAAAAGTATAATATAGAAGATAGTTTGTTAAAATACCCGATTTATATTGCAAAAAATCTTCGTAAACAGATAAAGCAGCTTCTACCGGCCCGTATTGCATAATTTCAGATTGTATTTGTTTAGGATTGGAATCCACCTCATATACCTTTTTAGCTATATAAAAAGAGTATATTATTATTATTATTATTATATTTTTTTTAAAAAAATTACATTTATAAGAAGAAAAAAAATATTTGTTAAAAATTAATAATTGAATGCGAATCAATTTGTGCTGCCAAAATTAAATTTGAAAAAAAAATGACACTTTTATAAATTTGATAAAAAATTCTGACAAATGATAACGTGATATTTGTTATTGGAAGAGATGTGAATTTTCAAATAATATAAGAAACGCAGAGGATAGCACATTGTATCCATCTTAATTATTATTTTTAAACAGTCAAATATTTAATATATAACCTCCCTAATCTATGAATCGTTTTTCTGTATTCTTAAACGTTAATTAAATTTTATATATCAACTTTCCTATCATTTGTTATAAAATTGAGGGAGGCTAAATAACCTACTGATAAATTTTCGATCTATCCGTCGAATCGCGATCCGGTCCGACCAAATCGAGTTCTAAATCGGTTTTTAGATTGAGATTTGGTTTGAAAAATAAAATATCTTTTCTGACCCCGTGCCCTCCCCCCCGCTTTGAAGGAAAAGGCCTAATTATTGATATTTTTACTAGTGTTATTAAAGATAAAATCTGTCGTTCTCGGGTCACCAATAGGAGGATCTACAGATAACCAAATTTTTAGAAACAGTCTAATTGTTCTTTATTACAGGGTTTGGAATTTAAACTTCATTTAGCGAATTTTATTTTAACAGAAACTTAATCGAAAACCGATTTTCTAAAAAATTTCCGAACTTATCCCAGGTTCAATGAGTTGTGCTTAAATCGGTCCAAGTTTGGTCTGTGGTCTCAAAATGCCCATTAAATTTCTCCCTGCTTTATTAAAAAGAAAAAATTGTAAAGCATTTACCTTCCCATCAGGCGTTTTATACTTCAAAAATATTTTAAAAAAATTTTTAATACCTAAAATTTTACCAATACAGCTGGTTACAAATCACCTTTCCAATAAAATCCGGCGGACTTGACTTACAATAACCATTATTTTTATTTTCCTCTTTATTAAAAAACAAAAATCTCATTCTTAAATTAATTAAATATAAATCCAATTGATAAGTATATAAAATATGTAAATCACTTATTTTATAATAATAACATTAATCCATTCATATAATACAAATATATTATCGAACATAAAAATCAAGACGCCATTTTATCGGATCGGAAAATTTTATGATATTGACCGATAACCGATATTTAAAAATAAAAGGATTTTTAAAAAAAGGCCCAATCCGATAAAAAATATAGTTACATCCTTAGCAAAAAATCAAATTTCTGACTAGTCATCAAACGAAGGAGAAACATCTGGTTAGCCCATCATTCTCGAAGGGTTAGTTACTAGAAATTAGAGATCTTCAAAGTTAGGCCCAGCCCGAGTCCGGCCGGGCCGGGTTTTCGCCTAATTCTATTTAAATAATTTGGTTCGGGCCGGGCCTAATATTTAAAAAAAATTCGGGCCGGGTCGGACCTTGGAAATTTAAAATCTAAATTTATCAATTTTATATTGAAATTTTTATGTAAAATAAAAATTTTTGATTTTATTTATTGAAACTAAACGACATATAACATATGTCTTTTATTTTGAGTAATTATAAAAATTAATTTCTATATTTAAATAAATTCGGGCAGAGGCCAGGTCGGTAAATTTTTTTAAAAAAAATTTCGAGTTTGGGCCAAGCCGGCAAAACTTTTTTAAAAAAATTTGAGTTCAGGCTGGGCCGGCAAAACTTTTTTAAAAAAAATTTCGGCCCGGGTCGGGCTTGAAAAATTAGGCCCGATGCAGATCACTACTAGAAATATATAAATTTACTTATTTCCTATCTAAACTATATTTTTATACTTAATAACAAAAATTGGTATAATAAACCTCAACAATGGGGCATATCGTGTAATGTTAGTTAATAATGTTACAAAAAAAAATAATCTTTATAAAATAAATAAAATTAAACCAAAATGTTTGTCATCCTTGTAGGTCACGTTATAGCTTCTCTCGCATTGAGTTCGGCATTTCGGAGTCTCAACTATTTTACCGCACGGTTTGTAGATGCCTTTATATACGTGAAACAAAATAAACAAATATGAGTATATTTTTATATAATACAAAAACCAAATCAAAGTAAACATCACTTTATACAGGCTAAGGTCATTCCAGAACGTTCTAGCGCATAACCCTGCATTCACAGTTAACGGGTAACCCCTTATTTTTAGAGTTGGCGTGAATTCGCGCTAACTACAAATGAGGGTTAATGTTAAAAGATTGCGAGGCGAAAATCTGGCGTTATTTTAATAAATTTTTTAAATATAACATTTGTGCCATGTTGCATGGATAAGTGCCCCATTCCCTTATAATTGGAACGGGAGAGTATGACATAGTAACGGTCATTAGAATCGTATGGTAGCCCCCCCCTCTCACAATTTTTTTAATTTAAATTTATATCTTTAAACTTCATTTAAAAAAAAGATGCGCTTAATTGATTATTTAAGAATTTTGCGCCGAGTCAGGCTAAAAAAAAATTGAATTTTGGCTTAATTAACGAAGACATTTCAAGGCCTAATCTTTCTTCTTTTTTTTCAATCTTGAAGATAATAAGTAAACGTACAAAGGGATTGCTGTAAAAAGTAACACGGTTATAGACATTTTTGTAATATGACTTGTAAATATATTTATAAGTGTAATGGAAAATATGATTTTTTTTCTAAAAGACACATGCAATTCAAGAACAAAGTGTAGAACAATTACTAGAATCTGTTAGCATTCTTCAAAAAGAACGTTACACCCAACACCCTAAAAATATTTCTCACTTTCTACCTACCTTAAAGATGTATATGGAGACAAACGAACCTCAATTCTTATGCCATTTAAAATATAAGGAATTCTCAACAAACACCAGCATGGATTTTTTTTTAAATTATATTATTTTGATGATTAAAATTAAAATCAGTGATAGCCAATAGGAGAGTGAGAATTAAGGGATTGAAAGTTGATTCTCTTTTTGAGGCGGTAAAATTACCAACAACAGTAGGGGTTGGTTAAAACAGTATATTTGACTTTCTTGGTTATTGATTACTTTTATGTTACGAGTACTATAAAATATAGCCCCCTCTCTCCCATTTCTTAAATCTAATAAAATTCAGTTATTAAAAACATTTCAATAAATATTTATCTAACAATATGTCAATTCTCTCCCAAAATCATATTTCAGCCTCATCGTGACAGGGGAGTGGCAACGTCTATTGGAGAAAGGGTTCCCTGTGGTCTGGGCCTAGAATAGGATCACCGTCTCCTCGACGGGGTGTAAAAAACAACCTAAAGGGGTTGATGTCAGAAAGGGTATCCGATTGTAAAAACCTTGCTACAAAATTTCCTAATACCATAACAATATTTCAATTAATATGATCGTATTTTTTTTCTTCAAATATACATGTAAGAAGCCTTCTCAGATCAAGAAAGGATTACGAGAATTGTACAAAAACTTCTTCTATTTTTTCCTCTTATTTTTAGACGTAATTCATTTTGGTATTAATAAAAATAATTGTTTACTAATTTTTTAAAATTTATGAGTTTTTGGAAAATTAATAAAATTGGGGTAATGGATAATAACGGAGCATTATTTACCCGAAAATCACGTGACTCAAGTCGAAAACATGAGTCGAGTTATTGCGACTCCAAGTCGCAGTCGCAATAACTGAGGCTATTTAACAACACTTGGCCACGAGCAGAAAAATATCGGTTTCGCGGTTTCTAATCCAGATATTGAAATTTTAATTTCTGAGAGATTTTATTGGATGAATATTAAATTTCTTTTTATTAATACATATTTAATGATATTATGATTTTTAAAAAAAATAATATCCAGTTTGGTAAACCTGTTTATAATTTTCAAAACGCTCCTCTTTAAATTTTATTATAATACAGCCATCAAACAGATTTTCTAAAACGCTCAAATACTAGAACATTCTGGCATGATCTTATCCATATCAACTTAATATCCGATAAGGGATTCACCCCCTCTTTATAAAAAAAAATATGTCTTAAGGTTCCCAATTTAAGTCAATCTAACATATAATTGGTTATATTATGGTGCTTGTCTACCCGTAGTTTGATGATCACAATGCTGTATTTCGTAAGGTAGGCAACCCTGATTAGATCCGTACTGTCCCCCGGTCACTAAGCCGTTTGACTGATAATAGTTCCAAGCATCGTCTATATGACCTCCTTCACATCTGCACCATTCACAATAAAATAAAATATTTTATAAGGACCCATGTTGTTTATTGAATAAATATATATTTTTGACAATGATTATGAATAATAAGTCTAAAAATTATATACCTTTAAAAAATCAAATTTATTGTTGGCATGTCTCAACTTGCAAAACAGCCTATCAAAATATTCAAAATGAGTTTTTTAAGGGGCATTTATGGGTTTATTAATTTGTATGTATTCTATCATATTTTAAAATGCTCGCAAGTTATTATCAAATATATCTTATTTATAAATATGCTATTTAAAATTTATTCACCGACGTTTTAAGTATTATTATTAACATTTTTCAATAATTTTTAACCTTTTTATTGCTATATATTTTACATTTTTTTTTAAAAAAAAAACCCTGTATTAAATCACCTCAAATTTTAAGAGAGACATTTTGTCCAATGACGTATTTATATATATTATTTTATAGTTAATGAAAAGTGAGGATTTGAATTTTGTGTTTAACGCATCGCGATCAAATAGTACGTTTCCCGGGATGTCCTAATTTCGTTTTCATTGATGCTACAGTGATGGCACAGCCTCTTTTAGTATTTTCCCCATGGGATTAAAAATCATTTGTGTTGTTATTGTCAAATAATATTTAAATGTTTTGTAATTTTTAATCAATATTTTATATGTTTATATTTTTTTACTGACCCGAGGCGTTAATTTTATATTATAATTATGTTCAATTAATTTTAACAGTTTGTATTTTACCGTCTGATGCGATGTTTTGCCATATAAAAAGACATAATTTACTTTTTATAAACGATCTTTTTGATTTATAAACCAAAATTTGTGATAGGATTCGGGTACAATAATAATTATTCCAAATCTATTAATTAAAAAATAAATCTTTTCATAGGTTAGTTTTTAATCAGATTATTTATTATATATATATAAAGATTATTCTATTATTAAATATATCTCTAAATTCCCTCTCAAGAATAAAACATTATTATCAAAATGGATAAAAGGCAATCAATAGAAATAACTTCGAGCCCACCAAATATACAAAATTTTGTGGAACTCATTTTACCACTGATTGCTTTATACCGTCTGGACTTAGCAGTTTGAAGGAAGGATCGAAACCTACCATTTTCAATAAACCCAATCCTCTCCAGGATTGTGTGATTATAATACAAATATGTTATAATCTTAACCCCATGCAGCATAGTCATAAGGAGGAGAATCATATGGGATTAAGTTCCTGATTGATCTTTTTAAATAAAAAAAAATATTACTTTTTACACTAATGTTATTATATTTTTTAATGACCCCCCCCATTATATGTTAAAATAACCTAATCATTATTGCCAAAGCTAATAAAATATTCATATATTTATTCGTTTTAAATTATTTTTCAAAAGAAAACAAATATTCTGAGTAATAATATATTTACAGTCACAAACTCTACAGAAAAAATTGATCATACCTATACTGCTAATATCTATTCCTTAACCAAAAATGTTAAGCATAACTATTTTATAAAACAATAATAATCTTTATAATATTTTTTAAGAGAAAATATTGCAAAAAAATTGACAACCCTAAATAATCTGGAAATTGGATTTGGAGGAGAACCAGTTAGCCATGTAAGCCTTATATATTACAATGACTGTGTAATTTATTATTTTTCTGAATTTTAATATTCAATCTTTCAAAAAAAATCGACATTTAACATGATCAATTATGGGTTTCAAAGAACAATGCAAACTAAAGATAGTACAAGAAAGATCTTATATTTGCTAATTATCAAGATGGATCATATATACGCGGCCAATTTTATCAGTTTTATCAAGGAAGGTTAAATATTTAGATATATATATATTTAAAAATTAAGAAAAATAATTAGGGCCTCTTATAAGAAGATTATCGATTTAAAGTCTATTATGAAAAAATTCAAGACTAAATATTAGATATGTGGTGAATTACAGGCTTTCCTTTAACATTAACCTCTATCAAAACTCAATTAAGCAGTGGAGGCGTAAAAAATCCGCGGAGTAAAATATACCCAAGAAATGAAACAATTTGTCTCAACTGTTCATTTTTATTCCCCAAAAGTATATAATTATCTATTCAATTCTGCTTACCCTCAAAGCCAGCATTGAAAACTTGGAGCCGACACAAAATAAGGCCAGGTTTATCTTTATAACTAATAGTAAAAATATTTTGATTTAAGTTATTTTCGATTCTTCCTTCGAGAGGATTAAAAGTTTTCAATCATTTTCGAAAGTCCAATTATTCACCATATTAAGCCTTGATGAAATGTCAATTTGTCGTCATATACATTGGGATAAAAGGATTTCCATGGATGTGTCGATTTAAGCAACGGACCATCAGAATCTCTTCCTGAGACCACACAATCCATTTGTATTAATTAAAAATTTTGGACATTATAAAATTTTTCTTTAAATATTATTTTCCTTTAGTTATATTCTAATAAAAGTATTCTATAAAAAAAAGGGGGTAAGAAAAAATAAATAAATTTAAGAACCAAGAAATTGAAAAAATAAATAAATTTAAAAACCAAGAAATTGAAAAAGAAAATAAAGTTAAGAACTAAGAAAGATCCTATAAGATTTCTTAGCAGCATAATCATAGGACATACATCCAACAACATGTATACTTTTTCATCACAATTGCTTGGGTCATTAAAATAAGGAACACAATAATCAGGATCTAAAGATGCACGTTGGCACATTTTTTTTATTTACTAACAGACATGGCGCCAGTGTCATGTAGTAAATATAGCGCATTAGTCACCATATTTGCTAACATGTCTGCAGTAACATATGAAACTAAGAAGTATCCTATTGTAATCTTCCATTTCCCATTAAGACATGTCGCCATGAGAAAAGGAGATTGTGTGACCTCAGGAAGAGATTCTGATAGTTTGATTCCATTGTCTAAATAAAAATATCCATTGAAATCCCTTTTGTCCCAATGTATATGACGACGAATGGATATTTCATCAAGGTTTATTATGGTGAATAATTGGACTTTCGAATCTGATTGAAAACTTTTAATCCAATTGAAGGAAGCATCGAAAAAACATAAAATCAAAATATTTTTATTATTAGTTATAAAGATAAACCTTGCCTCATTTTAATTTGTCGACTCCAAGTTCTCAATGCTGACTCTGAAAGTAAGCAGAATTGATCCTGTGTAATTTACCTTTGGGGAATTAAAAATAAACAGATGAGGCAAATTGTTTCATTTCTGGGGTATATTTTATTTTCCGCGGATTTTGTAAGCCTCCACTGGTTAATTGTTGATAAATGTTAAAGGGAAGCCTGTAAAAAAAAATTCTAAACATCCTCCCCTTTACCACATTTAAAATTTTTAGTCTTCAATTTTTTCATAATAGAATTTAAATCGAATAATCTTCTGATTCCCTCTTATAAGAGGCTCATTATTTTTAATTTTTGAATATATATATCTTAATATTTAACCTTCCTTGACAAAACTGATAAATTCGTTGTGTATATATGATCATCTTGTAATTGGCAAGGATCATTCTTGTAAGATCTTTGGTTTGCATTGTTCTTTGAAAACCGATAATTGATCATGGTAATTGTTGATTGTTTTTGAAAGATATTTTCTCTTAAAAATTTTTTTTATATAATATAAAAACAATATTGTTATTTTATAATGAAGTAGTTTTTTAACATGAGAATAATTACTATATGAGTTACTGAAATGGTGGGTTCAACTGATTTCAAATGCATAATTAAGAAAGCATCGTCAGTCTGGATATTATTATATGTCATTCAATTTACCTTCCTGATTTATGAACCCCTACTGACAGTGACAGATATTATTAAAATGATAATATACAAGCTGAGATGAGATTATTCTTTTATCGTCTAGATAATCTTTAAGATTCTTAGAATTTAATAATAATAAAAAAATACATTATATTAGGTTACTAATCTGCTAACAAATTTTAATTCTACTCAAATATCATGGATGAAAATAAAATTACTAAGAAAAGCCAAGACCATTCAAAAATATATTTTAAATAAAAAACTAAGCATAAGATACATACATATAGGTAGTAAATTTTTTTTAAATAAATAATTCAAAAGGTTTATATATTTATATATATATAAATTTTTTAAAAATATTTAATCAATTTCTAAGTGATTAATTTTGTTAAACATTACAAAACCTTTTTTTAAAAAAAAATTTGATTTAAATCAAATTTATTTCCATACCCTAATCCGACTACTGCGCATCCATCACAACAGGCGAGCAAATCTTCGGCGGAAATGTGGGCGTTCAAGGCTCCGTTAGTGCTTATGCAAATCCTATCCGATATGGCTTCCACTGCTCCGAAGGCCTTTAAAATTGACAAAAAAAAAATAATAATTAAAATATTTGGGGACCGAATTAAATCGATCGGAACTCCTTACCTATTAAAGATCTATAAATATTTGTTGCGAAATATGATATTTTCCTAATTTAAACCCATATTAAGGTTTGAATTCGAACAAAATTTTTTAAACAATTTTGATATTTATTTCTCACTTTTAATTTTAAACTAATTAATACAAAAGGGAAAATTTTTTCAAAAAAAAGTTATAAAAAAATTAGCAAATTTTGAGCTTGCATATTTTAATCATTTTTCACATTTAAGTTTAGAAATTTTTAATTTCACCGATTTCTTTTTATATGAAGTAGACGTTAATATTTCAAAAGAAAATATATCCATTTTTTTACCAAGAGAGGCTTTTTACCCTAAAGTGGTACTTATATATTGTTAATTTCATGGCTTCTAGTAAATTTATAAACCTTAAATCTTATTTTATAAATAAATCTTTAAGCAATAAGTGTACAAGATTATAAATCCATTAGGAAAAAAAAAATAATTATGGTCTTTAGCATAAATAAAATTATAAAAATTACATCACACCAAAATAATAGTCGTTCATGCATCAAGGGCTAAAATTTCGTTCACGTGTTTCACGTGTTAACATAGCCATCCCTACCAATCGCTTTACCCCAGTTTAACAAAAAGTTTTTTAAAATTAATTTGACATCTGCCAGCGTCAGATTTACACTTTTAACAAACATTATTTCCAGAAACTAAAAAAGAATGGAGCCGCTCGGACCTAACGAAAATTCGGATCAAGCTCTCATCCTAAATTTCTTCTTTAGAAATCGAAATAATAAATAAGAATTTCTCTGCGATACAAGACAAAACAATTCGGGATTATTTTTAAAATTTCTTTGCGTTTTTAATATTGTAACCTAATTTAAACGCAAAGCGCAAACAATACATTTCAAACGGTATTATTACAAATTGATAACAGCAAAAATGGTTTTGACCTTCTCTTTTTTTCAAAAAACTCAATTAGGCATTACAATTTATAATCTTTTACAAAAATTCGGACCAGGTTTAACACTTAAAAAATAAGAGGCTTACAAAGAATACAATTTTATATTTAAAAATTAAAAAAAAATATATTATTACTAAAAAATTTTGGCTCTCGTTTATTATAATTTAGCGGGGAAAAAATTTTCGCAACAAATTATATAAAATTAGAGGTAAATGATGGATACGGCCTGTATTTTGTTCATTTTTTCATTTGTAAGGCACTAACAAATTTATTTATAATATTTAAAAATGTGATTTTTGGAAAGCGTGTGGTGGCCATGTCGACAAGAGGGTCGCTTGCCAATCCAATTGTTTTAAGTTTGAATCCCAGCAGGGATCATGTTTTATTCCGAAGCCAACTTGGTGATTCAGTCCATGGGTAGTAATATATAAGAGATTTGACTCGACCACTTAATTCCTTGAATTGTTATTTTGAAAATTGCTATATGTTGATTTGGAAGTATCTATCATTAACCTAAAATTCGTAAGCAAAATAAAAATCGTCCCGTTTCTTTCTAACGGAATCGTATCACTATACTATTGATTAAAAAAAAAATTTTTAAAGTAACGTAATTTTATAAGTTATCGTTACTCTGCATTCACGGTTACGTGAATTCGTGTCGAATAAAATTACAGCATATTTTATATACTTTGCCGCGAATTTTGGCTCGCCAGTTTGGGGTAAAGTAGTGTTGTTAAAAACTGAGTCAAGCCGGCTTAGCCCTAAACTCAGCCAGTTTTTGAGCCGGCCTGCTGAGTTGGCTTACTCGAGTCGGCTCAAGCCGAAATTTATTTATTTGTGATTAGTGTTGTTAAACGGCTGATCCAAACCCGCTTCTTGGCTTACTAGTGTTGTTAAACGGCTGAGCCAAGCCGGCTTCTTGGCTGCCATGCCAGCTTACTAAACTCAGTTAAATTTTGAATCGAAAATTTGACTCAGACTCAAGAGTTGACTAAAGCCTACTTTTAAGCCAATAATTGATTTATTTGTGATTAGTGTTGTTAAACAGTTGACTTTTAAAAAATATATATTTTAAGAAAATATTAAAAATAAAAAATATCTAAGATTTTTTTTTCTTTAATGCCGCTTCATCTATTTTACTTAAATACTTTTTATGTAATTTATTCAGGTAAAGAATGCATATATTTATATATTTTAAATATAATAAGAAAGCTGCAGTTATAAACCTGGCAAGGGCAACCCATACATCATTAATTTATCTCAAGTTAATAAAAATAGGATGCTGACATGTTTGATATAAATAATTAATTTTCTCCTTTAAAATCATAAACTAATATAATAAATTATATTTATAGTCAACCCTTAGTAATATAGAAGGGTAGGGGGTTGGGAAGAAATTTAAATAATTAAATATTTTTGTAATTAAAATCATAGGGAAAAAAATGAGACAGATATCAGGTGACCCCAATGAAGGATTTTACCTTCGTCAGCAGATTTCCCTGGAAATCTGCAGGTCCAATTTTATAAATATTTAAGCTTCTCTCGGATGATATGTACCCTCTTTTTTTTAAATACTTTCTCATAGTTCTTTTTTATGCATTAAATTTTTTTTTCCAATTCATTTTTTTAATATATATATATTTTTTAATTATGTTGTGTATATTTCTCATTGCGATTTAATATTTACAAAAAATTGTTTTATTATATTTTTAAAATTCTTGGTTAAATTTTTTCCATTTTTACTAATAATTTACTTAATTTGATATCCAATTTTTAAAAAAAAATAAAAAATAGCCACTAAAGTTATCTTCACTTATTTTTAACTAGAAATATTTATTTTAATTATTATAATAAAAACTATTAGGCCAAGATAAATCTAATATATGATAATATATTTAAATAATAAAGCTAACAAATATATTATTTGACCGTTCTTATGCAAGATTCTTTCCAACATACCTAAGGTCCATAAACCCTATTTGATTATTGAAATAAGATATTTTATATCAGCGCAAAGAACACATTTTTTCATAAAATTATTGATTTATTTGTATATTATAGTATAAACAAATATATAATATACTTAAAATTTATATATAAAAATCATCTTTTAAAGTTAAAAAATTAAATTTCCATGATTTTAATGACTCATTTAATTTTGTAAAAGAAATTCGATTTCTTTTTTTTGTCAATGTGTCAACCGCACATGAAAATACAGATGTTGATTGATGGGAAAAGAAATCTCTAGCCATCATTGCTAATTTGGGAAATCTTGTGCTGTTCAAACTCCACCAATCCAAAACATAGATTGTAGGTTTAGCAACAACCTCTCCAATATAATCTTCCATATCCTCTCTCGCTGGATCTGGATATTGATATGCTTCCCTTAAAAGCGAATTATAAAAATATATGATTAAATATAATAAATTTTTATATTTACTTTCTAAGGTCATTAAATATCGACACCAACATAATATTTGATGGATTAAGCTCGTTATCGATATCATAAACATTTAAATTTTCCGGATTATATTGGTTATATAAAATTATGAAATGATCCAAATATGTAACTTTATTAAGAAAAGTTGGTGTATATATTTTTTTTTATTCAGGATCCAGGAACGCACAGATATAATTTGCCAAAGTTGCTATATGTTCTGAATATATTTTGCATTTTTCTTTCATTTTAGAAGCCGCTTTTTTTATTTGAGTGCTTGCATTTGATATCTCTGTGCGTTCCAGTGACGTCATTATTGTATTAATGTATAATACAGATAAGCCTACCGTGGTTATTGTTTCTGAGTTTATTTCGTTTGTTATCTTATAAAATGGATATAAAAATGATTCGAGTTCCTTGAGAAAAATACTATCCTCATTGTTGATGTGGTACTCATCTTTAAATTTTTTGCAAAATTTAAAGACCGCATCAATATTCTAAAAATACAAAACATTATTAAAAAATAAAATTTATAATTAATAATTATACCTGATTGATTGTACGTATCATTAAATATTTACTGTTCCATCTGGTAGCCACATCTATTGGTATTTTCGTAATTTTATTTTTTAATAATGTTTTGTATTTTTAGAATATTGATACGGTCTTTAAATTTTTTTGATGATGAGTACCACATCAACAATGAGGATAGTATTTTTCGCAAGGAACTCGAATCATTTTTATATCCATTTTATAAGATAACAAAAGAAATAAGCTCAGAAACAAAAACCACGGTAGGCTTATCTGTATTATACATTAATACAATAATGACGTCACTGGAACGCACAGAGATATCAAATGCAAGCACTCAAATAAAAAAAGCGGCTTCTAAAATGAAAGAAAAATGCAAAATATATTCAGAACATATGGCAACTTTTGCAAATTATGTCTGTGCGTTCCTGGATCCTCGAATAAAAAAAAATATATAATAACTTTTCTTAATAAAGTTACATATTTGGATCATTTCAAATATTTATATAACCAATATAATCCGGAAAATTTAAATGTTTATGATATCGATAACGAGCTTAATCCATCAAATCTTATGTTGGTGTCGATATTTAATGACCTTAGAAAGTAAATATAAAAATTTATTATATTTAGTCATATATTTTTATATTTCGCTTTTAAGGGAAGCATATCAATATCCAGATCTAGCGAGAGAGGAGATGGAAGATTATATATATTGAAGAGGTTGTTGCTAAACCTACAATCTATGTTTTGGATTGGTGGAGTTCGAACAGCACAAGATTTCCCAAATTAGCAATGATGGTTAGAGATTTCTTTTCCCATCAATCAACATCTGTACCTAGTGAAAGAACCTTTTCACGTGCGGTTGACACATTGACAAAGAAAAGAAATCGAATTTCTTCTACAAAATTAAATGAATGTTTGTCATTAAAATCATGGAAATTTAATTTTTTAACTTTAAAAGATGATTTTTATATATAAATTTTAAGTATATTATATATTTGTTTATACTATAATATACAAATAAATCAATAAATTGTATGAAAAAATGTGTTCTTTGCGCTGATATAAAATATCTTATTTCAATAATCAAATAGGGTTTATGGACCTTAGGTATGTTGGAAAGACTCTTGCATAAGAACGGTCAAATAATATATATGTTAGCTTTATTATTTAAATATATTATCATATATTAGATTTATTTTGGCCTAATAGTTTTTATTATAATAATTAAAATAAATATTTCAAGTTAAAAATAAGTGAAGATAACTTTAGTGGCTATTTTTTATTTTTTTTTAAAAATTGGATATCAAATTAAGTAAATTATAAGTAAAAATGGAAAAAATTTAACCAAGAATTTTAAAAATATAATAAAACAATTTTTTGTAAATATTAAATCGCAATGATAAATATGCACAACATAATTAAAAATATATATATTTAAAAAAATGAATTGGAAAAAAAAAAAATTTAATGCACATAAAAGAACTATGAGAAAGTATTTAAAAAAAAGAGGGTACATATCATCCGAGAGAAGCTTAAATATTTATAAAATTGGACCTGCAGATTTCCAGGGAAATCTGCTGACGAAGGTAAAATCCTTCATTGGGGTCACCTGATATCTGTCTCATTTTTTTCCCTATGATTTTAATTACAAAAATATTTAATTATTTAAATTTCTTCCCAACCCCCTACCCTTCTATATTACTAAGGGTTGACTATAAATATAATTTATTATATTAGTTTATGATTTTAAAGGAGAAAATTAATTATTTATATCAAACATGTCAGCCTCCTATTTTTATTAATTTGAGATAAACTAATGATGTATGGGTTGCCCTTGCCAGGTTTATAACTGCTGCTTTCTTATTTTATTTATAATATATAAATATATGCATTCTTTACCTGAATAAATTACATAAAAAGTATTTAAGTAAAATAGATGAAGCGGCATTAAAGAAAAAAAAATCTTAGATATTTTTTGTTTTTAATATTTTCTTAAAATATATATTATTTAAAAGTCAACCGTTTAACAACACTAATCACAAATAAATTAAATATTGGCTTAAAAGTAGGCTTGAGTCAACTCTTGAGTCTGAGTCAAATTTTCGATTCAAAATTTAACTGAGTTTAGGGATAAGCTGGCATGGCAGCCAAGAAGCCGGCTTGGCTCAGCCGTTTAACAACACTACTAAGGAAGCGGGTTTGGATCAGCCGTTTAACAACACTAATCACAAATAAATTAAATATTGGCTTAAAAGTAGGCTTGAGTCAACTCTTGAGTCTGAGTCAAATTTTTGATTCAAAATTTAACTGAGTTTAGGGATAAGCTGGCATGGCAGCCAAGAAGCCGGCTTGGCTCAGCCGTTTAACAACACTAGTAAGCCAAAAAGCGGGTTTGGATCAGCCGTTTAACAACACTAATCACAAATAAATAAATTTCGGCTTGAGCTAACGGCTTGAGCTAATGGCTTGAGCCTACAGCTTGAGCTAACGGCTTGAGCCAACTCCTGAGCCAACTCCGCCGTAATGAGCCGGCTTGAGCCTGAGCAAATTTTTTGGCTACGACCTCGAAGTCGGAGCCGATATAAGTCGGCTTTTTAACAACACTAGGGTAAAGTTACATGGTTTTTTGTTGGCCATGATTCGCGCTTATGAATGAGGAGTTATGATGGATTGATAAATCTGATGGACTGAGAGCTGAGGTTAAGAAATTATTGGTGTAAAACTATTTATTCATTATAATATAGTAGGAAACTGTTTAATTTGGAACATGGTTTTGAGTATATTTTTGTCCAACTAGGACAGTTACCTTATTTATCAAGACTTGAATTAATAAGAATTTGATAGGTACCCTATTTTTTTGGTAAAATTAGGGAGTTGCCTAAATTAGACAATTTTAACTATATAAATATATTATATATTGATTGCCAAGCTTTGCTGATCAAAAACCCTTTTTTTCTTATTTGAATTTATGGAACCAATGTCAAAATGTGATAGTTGTTATGCTTTTTAAACAAATGGTCAGGGGAAATATATTTTTCCCCAAAATCAGTTGGCATGCTAGAAATAAATAAACAATAATTGCTTGTGAACCTGAAAGCTTAAAAACAAAATGCAGTTCTTATTTGTCCATTTATATATTAAATATTTAGAGATGAGCAAAAGTAGACACAGCCTGTACCCAGATTTGATGGAATTCATGCCAATCCTATTTTAAAAAATAGACTCTATTTCAATTTTGTGCAAATATAATATAATTTAAAGATTTTTCAAAAAATACAAGGCACCAATATTTTTAATAAGTTTGAAGAATTCAATTTTATTTGAATGTAGGAAACTAGGAACCATGCCATAACTCTTATTTTTGGCATTATATTGAAAAAATAAAAATCAATTTTTAAAGAATTTTTTATATTAAACTAATTAATAAAATGTAGAGTTAATAATGTAAAAATATAATTTTTTTTTTAAATCACATAAAGTAGGCAGATATAAAACAATTTAGAAGATATATTTGATTATAAAGTTTAAAAACTTGATAATACTAAGTGTAAAAAATAAAACTATATATGTAATGTATATATGATAATTCCCATTTACACAAATAGAACTTGGAATAAAGATTCATCTATACTTAAAATAACTCAATGTATTCAAAAAAAACTAATTATAAATTGAAATTATTACTTATTAAAAAAAATATGTGATTAGTTACTAATGCATCATAGGCAGTCTTATTGGGATCAATAAAAAAAAATTGTTCACAATCAAGCCAAACTGGGCAATTTTAAAAAATCGGACCAGGCTAAGCCTAAACATATCAGATCAATATTAACAATATAAAAATAGGCAATAGATGTAACATATTAATAGTAATATTAGACTAGAATGTTCTATTCTAATATATTATATATAATTTTAAATATATTTAAAAAATGTATTAATATTATTTAAAATAGAATTAGTTAATATAGTTTCTCAGCTATATTATTATAGATATTCTCAAATAAGAATAGGTATTTATTCATTTTGTAAATGTAAAAATATATAGAGTGTGCAAACAGATTCTATTAGTACATACATACATTTTGATAGGTTTAGTATATTTTAGCTACATTTCATTTTTTTAACAGAAGCAAAAGTTTTTAATTTTAATAGCATGCACAAGTTATATTAACCCTAAAATATTAAAGGTAGCCAATAAAAATCAGGCAGCAAGACCTTGAGGATTCTTGGGCTGGGTAATTCATTGGCCAGTCAGGCACTAATTTTGTAAAGCTTATAAGAATATTTTACTCATAAATAATTCCTTGGGTGGGCCAGATTACTTACATAAAATCACTCAATTGATTAGGCAAAAATTATTATGAGTGATGAGAAAAAAGCATTTAAAATAATATATTCACAGGATGGTAAAAAAAAAGGCAATGATTTACTATATAAATTATATTTAATTATAATTTAAAATAATTATAAGCTCATCTATTTAATTTTCATATATTAGCAAATTTCATATTACCCAACAAGATCCACAAGCTCCTTGATCTCTAACCTCTTGGAGTGTGGGACAATGTGGCCATTGTTTTCTACTGTCAAATTCTTCAGGCAAATTTATCTTATCTTGATCATGATATTGAACTTTCATGTTGTATAATTTAGATTTAGTGGCATTTAATTTGACTCCCATAAGTCTCTTAATAAGATCATAATCCCAACTTTGAAAATTTGGGGTAGATGTAGCCTGTTTATACATATAAAGCATGTTATAAAAACTAAAAACTTTCCAAGTGGTATTAAGATTATTTATATGATCTGCAATTTGAATGGCCCGTGATCCATAATTATTTTCTGATTTTACACCATTGAAAAACCCATATATAAATGCAGCGTTTAAAATGAAATTTATCATTTCAAAAAATAAAAATATATAATATGGGTGAATCAATTACCAGACATATGGCAATCAAAACTATAAAAATATTTCTTGATTTAAATAAAAATATAAAGACCTTAAAAAAATAAAATAAATAAAGAATAAAAGGAGCTGAGGAATAACGCCTGCTCGCTAAACCCTCTAAAAATCTCATCAAGATATTACTATACCATCAAGAGGTATAAATGATTAAATCATATTATACATGATTACATAAAGCTGATCTGAATACCATCAAAATAAATACAGATGAAAATTAAGGTCTTGTAGTTCTATTATTTACTAGATATTTTAATCTTGATTATAATAACAGTGTATTAATTAAAGTTAATAACTAATTAAAATAGCGATTATAATTCAAAAAAAAAACTTGTAAAAAATTTGAAAACCATTTTTATAAAATCTATATATATATATGTACCATAAATAAACCTAAATGTTACCAATAAAATTTATAGGGAAAAACCATCCTAATTATCTTCCCACCCCATTCCCCTAACCCCAATCAAAATCCTCACCCTATGTATATAACAAGCTTAATATATATTTAAATAATAAAAAAGACGATATTATATTAAAGATAAAAAATTATCGCCAATTAAATTTAATTGATAAATTAGTTCATTATATCCTGCAAAACTAATAATTTTGTATTGGTCTCTAAATTTATCACTTCAAAAAATAATAATTTAACAATAAATTAAATTGACATCATCAATAACTATCTGTTAAATTTTACCTACGAACTGAACTTAATGACTAATAAAATATATTTATAGAAATTCAAAAAAATGAGAAGAAACAACAGCTAAGAAACAAAATACAAAATCATGCCTAAATATGCAAGATAATAGTTGTATGTCATACTGTTAGCATGTGAAAATAATTTATCTTTTTTCCTTGCTCATAACCCATAAGAATAGAAGAATTTTTAGTAAGATATTAAAACAAGCTGATATTTAAATAATTACATCCCACCCAAATGTTATTTTTTTCAAAAAGGAAAATGAAGTCCAAGTAAATATTCTTTATATTGTTATCATATAAACTAAATTTTTAGCAATTATCTTAGAATATATTAATGGTAATCAGGCTTAATTAAAGCAATGATAATAATACTTCATATTTTTAACAAACTAAATATTTAGCTTTTATAAAGAGATTTATTAAACAATTGGTATCTTCGGGCTTAATTTAAGCATAAGTAAAAATTTTTTATAGTTTTAGCATATAAACTAAATTTTTAGTAAGAAAGGAAACCTGTTTTATTCTTTTCAAAATTTGCAAGTTATCTATATTATAATTTTCCGATCCTCACTACGTCATCGTGACGTCATGTCATCGCTACGTCATGACATCGCTACGTCATGTCATCGGTACGTATTTATTTTTATTTTTTTTATTTGTTGATTTTATTTTATTTTATTCATGCAGATAGATGAATGGAATTGATGGTGTACACATACCTAACATGGATTGAGATTTGAATTGATAAAAACAATATTCCCTCAAATTTGTATATATGAATGAAACTTTTTATTTCACTTAATCCTCTCTTTATTTTTTAGATTACCTTATCAATTTTCATCTCATATTATCAATTACACATTAATGAAATCTTTTTATACTCATATTTTTATTTCATAACCAATAATCAAGAAGATAACCAAGTATATTCAAATATTTAAATATTCTTATCCTAACCTATTTATAATCTCCAATCCTTATAAATAACTTTTTCTTTATTTTTTTCCCCTCCCTTAATGAATTTATTTATCACTAAATTTTATTATTTCATTCTTTTCTTTCTATCTCTATTATCTATTAACCACTATTTCTCAAAACCTTATCAATTCCTTTAATTTAATTTTTATTATTTTTATAATAAAATAATTTATACCTTCTTTCCCCTTTTTTATTCTTATTTTTTAATTACCTTACAATTGATTAACCTTAATCTTAATAACATTACATTAATCATTTTTTAACTTTTAAAATATCGTAATAGGCTTGATAAGTCCCCCAAAAAAATTTTTCTGATGATAGCCAAACCTTATCAATTCCTTTAATTTAATTTTTATTATTTTATAATATAATAATTTATACCTTCTTTTTTCCCCTCTTTTTTAATCTTATTTTTTAATTACCTTACAATTAATTAACCTTAATCTTAATAACATTACATTCATCATGTTATTTTTTAACTTTTAGAATATCATAATAGGCTTGATAAGTCCCCCAAATAATTTTTTTGATGATAGCCCTCCAACTACTAGAAATATGCATCTAATATTGACCCATATACCGGTTTTACATTATTTTAATGTTTGTTTAATTTCAGCAATAGTTTTTTTATATTTTTGCCTTATTTCTTTATTTTTCTAGGCTAACCCTAATCCCTCACATTGCTGAATCTATTATTAAAGATAGGCAAAGAAAATAATGACGATTAAACAAACGCCTTACCCGTTCTAGAGTTACTGGTAGTCAAAATAATATATAACTACGCTTGAAATGAACTCATCTGGACGTTTATTTTGTTTTTTTTTCTTGTTTTATATGTGTTGTGATGTCCAAATTGATCGATATCTATTAACTAATCGCGATCTATTAAATAAAAGATTGATTTTTTTTATTCTTTATATTATATTAACTTTAACCTTGCGGACTCGTTTTATAATATTAACTCAATAATTCGACATAAATTACTTGATAGATTTTGTAAACTATATAAACATAGAAAATTGTTGTACTAGATAGTAAATATTTTTAAAATAAATTATAAATTAAAACTTGATTAACCTTTTTTCTAATTTTTTGCCAACCTTAACATGCTGGCAGTAGCTATCTTTGTAAATTTCTTTGTAAATTAAGATTTTATTAAAACATAATTTCATATTTCTGAATATAAAATAATTCAATTATATAAAAAAAAAGAAAAATTTTTTTATCCAAGTAATTAAATATGACGAAAGATAAAAAAAATAATGTTTTTAATGATACTATATCGTATAAATACGAATTTCCTAAATATATAGAAAATATCGATACATATTTAACCAAAATTGAACTTATTTTTAAAAAAATTAACAGCACAGATGAGGATAACGCTACGACCTTGCTTCATAATTTACCAGATGACATATTCCCAAAATTTCAATCGATATGCACTGAGTCCGATCTCAAGAAATCGTCGATACTTATCAACAAACTTAGATTATTACAGCCTTCCAAGATTCGAAACAAAAAAATTAGCGAATTTAATGCAGCGGTTCAAAAAGAGAGATTTTTTAGATTGGGTTACCCGTATTTGTCAACTCAATATGGACTGCAACTTTATCGGCTACGACAGGGTTTTAGAATAAATAAAGGTATCAAGCTCTTCTAAGGAAATTAAATACAGAATTAAAGATTTACTCATTTTAGATGACATTATAAAGGTAGGCAAAGAATTAGACGAAACAGACATCGAAACATCTATACATAAGATTGTTATCAAAGAAAATACACAATCCGATCTAAAACATTTGGAGGGAACAAGACAAGGTAAGAAAGTTTATGAACTAAAACCAAGTAATGTTAGATATGACAACACCCAGATGATGCCATATGTTGAGATATCATGATAATAATTACAGCCATTAGTTTAGACAACCATGGCAGACTCGATCATATTATGGTAACATAAGATTCAACAACCAAAATAACTATCATTTTCCAAGACGATGCTAGATTTTGTGATCAAAATAGATGGGAAACTTTTTATAATCACGACACAAGAGATAACAATAATTATAGATTTAATAGTAACATCAAAGGACATAATAATAATTACAAGCCTTTTAATGATTTCAAAAACCACAACACCAGACAACCGTTTCAAAATTTTAGAGATTATAATAGATCTAATGGGCATCAACAATTTTACGATCGTGACAATAAAAATTACATAAATCATAATCCTAGACCAAGCTTTATTCAAATAAAATTAATACAGTTGATATAGAAGAGATCGAAGACGACAAAATCATATCAATCGATAAGAAAGATTTTTGTTAAATATTAATATAAATAACGTAGAAAACGAAGTAAAATGTTAAAGATGACGCATACATGGTGAACATCAAAATTAATAACATCTTGACTGTCATAAATGATACTTTTTGTTAATATAGTTAAAATGTCAATCATTTTAAATGATTTATTTTTTTATCGTTTTTGAAAAAAAGTGATTTTTTTCATTATTATTTTTATGAAAATGATGAATATTTTTTTTGAAATTAATTGTAATATTTTTTTTGTTGAATTACCTATAAAGAAGAAGATTTTATCATATTTGTGATTTTAGTGATTTGAATAAATTATTTCTACATTTAGATCATTGCCTAGGTATTTTATTTGGTTCTCTAGTTTGTCATTTACATTTCTGTTTTTTTGATTTTTTGTAATTTCGTTTTTTTTGACATTCACTACAAGTGTATACGGGCACGAAATTCACAATTCTACCAAAATATATGATTGAGAAAGTGGGCATAAAAAACATTACGAAGTCCAACATTCAGTTATCTGGTTACGACGGCAAGACCATACAAGTGATAGGCTCAACACGACTGAATGTAGAATACATGGGAAGTTCTAAAATTATAGATGCATTGATAGTAAACAATAACAAGATGCCTTTATTAGGAAGATCTTGGTGGAAACATTTTAAAAACATACTTGAAAGATTTATAGGCTTAATTGACACGGATCATAAAAACGATTTGGTGGATTTAATATCCAATTGTAAGTCTAGGTTAAATAAAAAACCTGTTATAAAAACGCAAGTCAGGTTACGACTAAATTCAAATGCTAAGCCAAAAATTATACCACCGATAAGGGTACCTTATTCTAGAGTAGACATTATAACCAAAGAATTAAATACCTGGCTGGAAAACAAAATCATCGAGCCGGTAAAAGACGTTAGATGGGCGAGTCCACACGCCAGTTTTTAAAAATAATGGGAGTC